TATTGAGCTGTTTAGCGTGACCTAAACCCCCACATTGTCAAAATTACAGGATTAGAAATAGTAAATAGAAAATAAACTTTATTCTGGGACGATTGTCCCCTTAGAATAACAATAATGTACACAGTTACAAAAGAAAAAAAATACACATCTGGCCAAAAACTAGCTCAATAAAGATTCAAACAATATATACAACTTAAATAATAGTACCATAATTGGTAATTGGTTGACTGTCGTGGATAATGAAGAGAAGAATAGTTGGGGTGGTCAGTCAAAAAGGAAGGCAAAAATAAATGATAATATTTATTTTTTACATATGCCGACGTTTCGACCTGAAGTTCAGGCCTTCATCAGGGCTAAGAAAATAACCAGATAACAAGGTATGAGAAAGATAAGTAGTGATGGTAAAAAAAAAAAATAAAAAAAAATAAAAAAAATATATATAAAGTAAAATGAAATTGTTAGAATAATGACTAAGAAGTAAGAGATAAATAATAAAAACCGTTACAAAGTGTGGAATGATGAAGTAGGCATAATCAAAAAGGGTGACAAAAGTGTTACAATGGAAATCTCAAAATAAAATGTAAAACATAAAAAAGAAATATAAAAAAGAAATATGAAGTTATATAAGAATTTACTAATATTTAAGAATTTACAATTTCATTTTACTTTATATTTATCTATTTTATTTTTTTATTTTTTTTATTTTATTTTTTATTATCTTTTTTACCATCATTACTTATGTTTCTCATACCTTGTTATCTGGTTATTTTCTTAGCCCTGATGAAGACCTGAACTTCAGGTCGAAACGTCGGCATATGTAAAAAATAAATATTATCATTTATTTTTGCCTTCCTTTTTAACTGACCAACCCAAATATTCTTCTCTTCATTAAGTAATAGTATGTAAATTACTAAGAAATAAAATAAAATCTTCTCTACTATATTTATAATTTTACTGGAAAAATAACAAAAAGAAAATAAAAAATTACATGTATATAAAGAAAAAGCAATAGAAAGATATATATGTATACAAATTGAGGAATGTAAGAAATGAAATACGTCTAAAACATACACAATCTTGTAGATGGAAGAAAGAAAAATGGATAAAAAAAACAAACAATCGCTTACTTTTTATGCATCACCTCACATTGCTATGTCAAAAGTGATACTGAATCTTTACAGTTCACAAATAATAAACAGAAAATAAAATAAAGTAGTGGTGTATTAAAAAAAAAAATATCCTTGTTGCATGATACATAATTAACCAGCGTCTGATTGGATTTTGAAGAGGAATTGGAATAAGAGAGTTTTGAATGTGGATAAGGATGATGCATGGCGGATTTTAAGTGGGATGGAATTATAAAAGAGGAGCGGACAATAAAGGAATATTGAAATGAAGCAGATCTATGGAAAGGGGTGTAATGGTCAAAAGGACGATATCTTGTGGAGAGGGAGTGGACAGATGATTTAAATTGGAAGAGATTGTATACATAGGACGGGCGATGGTTGTCTATTATTTGTTAAAGGAATGTTCCAAGGAAATATTGTCTTCTGAAGGAGGAAAAGAGCCACCCTGACTGGACATAGTAGTGGGGAAACAAGGGAATGTCTCGGGGTCTCTTCGACAAATCTTACTATTAGGTTTTATAGGCCAAACAGTCTAATATTTTTGTAGGCCACCTTTTTTTTTTTTTTTTTTATCGATTTCGTGATAAAATTATCTTACGATTCAATCGGAAATCAAATGAGTATTTACGAGCTTTTAGTACTTGATTAAATCGACAAATTTTGCCGATATCCAGATTGAAAAAGTCTCAATACCGAGTAAATAAAATATTTGTAGGGATCGATGAGATAAAGCCCGTTACATCGATTTGACTACATACAGACAGACAGAAACCGAACCAAATTTGATCCTTGATGTCTGAAACGTAAAACGCGAGTAGAAATTTTCGATTCTGAGCTCAAAATTTTTTTTAAACCTCTCGCAAGAATACAATGCCTTCCCTACCTTCGGTAGTGAGGAAGCAAAATTTGGTTTCATACACTAGCGGATCCAGGATTTAATTTTGGGGGGGGGGAGCTTCAGCCCGGAAGCTTTTTTTTTCAAAAAAATAACGATATTTACTTTGGAAAAAAAGAAAGAAACTAACTATCTATATGAAATGGTGTTTAAGTGATTCCTTAAGTCCTTTTAAATGTAATTAAACCAACAATAATACTTTAAGAGGTATTTTTTAATTTTTTCCCCATAAAACGTGGTTATGTTTTACGATTTTGGGGGGGCTTCAGCCCGAAAGCCTCCCCCCCCCCTCCGTAGATCCGCCCGTGGTTTCATATAGTTGTATTACTAAGTAACCTTCCTATGAAAACTGAAATTTCATATGATACGACCTAATCTGATACAAGCTAATCACTTACTAAGTAAAAATATTATATCTTATATAGTAATAAACAAGTATTGCTAATGTCACTTATAAGTGAAATGCATTAGGAAGAAGCTGTCTTAAGCTTCCAATAATTGCTGTATTATTGATATCGATTCATATTTATTATTGTCATTAGATACTGATGGCAGTTTGTCAAAAGTCGATCCTGTTTTGATGTTAAACAGGACGAGTTTAGGTTGGCCTAATGGTTTCGCTTTCCCTCGAACTGGGTGTTACGTGCCACCGTAATCTGCTGTGTCCAATGGCGGTTCGCTATGGGCGGCTGAATTGCAACGCCAGCAGCTCTGGGGATTGACCTAGAATCGACTTAGCTACCATCGATCTTTATGGATAAGTCGATTCCATCCGCTCTTTGTAGCGAGATAATAGTCCTTTTATATTACCGGTGTATTTAAAAAGTTAAATTTATCGTAATTTAGATTAGACCTTTTTCAAAATATATTGCTTCTTAAAGGTCTAATTAGTCTAAAAATATTTGTTTATTATCTTGAGATTAATTTTTTATATATGTTTTTACTCCCATCTGTAAACAATTAAAAGTATTTGAAATATTTGCTAGTTGTACACTCCATGAAATGTATACTCTTACTTATTTTAGAAGAAATTAAAAAACTAATCATTCATGATTACAAATCTTAAAAAAAATAAATAAATTATTATATTAACTAGGAGGTACCATACCCCCTGTCCATATAACAATGGACCAACCCCCATTTTTTGTAATGAGCTATTATTTAAAATTGTTTCTTTACACGACGCTGTGTCAGAGAGACGAAAAAATAAAAATAATAATAATAATATTGAGTATTTAATAGTTGAACGTTGCAGTCATATATAGGCTAAATAGTTTTGCCACTATTTAGCGTATTTATGACCGCCACCCCGGACCATCTCCTTTCTTTAATAATAATAACAGTACTTTATTTATTCTGGGACAAGTCCCTTTAGAATAATAAAGAAAGACAGAAATGTGAGCTATGGAGCCTCAGAGATACATAAACAAAAATACTGAGTAATTAAATAGTTGTAATAAAAAAAAAATTAAGAACGATCTTATAATTTATATACATGTTTACAATTGTATATATTTACAATTTTATGGGGACTGGATAGATAAGATTGAACAGGCAGGATTTAAAGGTAGGAAGAGTATTGGATTAACGCATGTGGAAGAAAGGGATGGAGTTCCATAGGGATGAGGATCGGATAATGTACGATCTGTCGAAAGCAGCAGTTCAGTGGGCCCTTATGTATAAATCATAACACCCTGAGCGAGTATTGCGGGAGCGAACAGAGGATTTGAATTGAAGGAGCTCTGATGTGTATGAAGAGCAATGGGATTGAATAACTTGAAAGAGGAAGGATGCCAATAAGTAGTAGAAAGGATGCCAGGAAATAGTAGAAAAAGAGTGTCCAAAATCAAATGATATTGAGTTTTATAGAAGATATGGATTAAAATATCTCAGAAACAAAACATCGTACCGGCATATTGTAAGCGAGGGAATCGTTCGGCATTTTATTCCCTTTACAATGAGCTATTATTTATAACTTATATTTCATATTATTAATCTCGCCTTGTTGATGTTTTCAATTCTATCATGTGGTCTAAAATACACTTCGTTGTTTTTTTTTTAATTACTGGGGAGAATCTCCTAGCTGCCTAAAGCCCGGATCAACCTCAATTTTACAAATTATACATCTGTTCGTTTAATTGTACAACTCGTTGCTCAAATTGTATAACTTTAATTTAAATGTATTCTGTAGCCGAGATTGTATTATTTTTTATCAACATAAAATAAACTGAACGAAACCACAGTTCAGACAAATTTTTAATTTCTTTACAAATATATATTAATTACAGCGCCTTATTGCCAATTTGTAACCATCATATATATTCAACTTGTTCAGCTTCATATAAGCCCAACAATAATTTGAGCCTTTTATTTCTAATATTTTCACTATATGTTATATTGTGCTGTAGTTTCTAATTCATAATAATTATTATTACATCACAATATAATATAAATAAATTTAAATACAATATAATAATTAATATATTGTATTCAAAAGGAAAATGCCTATATAGAAAAATAGTTGCAGTCTCTTGGCTGAAATAAAACTACCTCCTCCAAATGAATTCCCATTTCTCGTTCAAATTTTTAGTCTAAAATCTTTATTTTATATTAGGATAGTAGTAGGTAACAGTTGTAGGAGAGCTCCTGTAATCTCATACTCTCCTAATACTAAAACAAAATAAAATATGAAAATCACTAAAAACGTTTTTATATAATAGAGAGATAATAATAAAAAAGCTGAGAAAACCTGAAAGTTCGATACTGACACCGCCAATCTCTGTCTACACACCTCACCCTATGGTTGCTGTCCAAAACTTACCTTTGCCTGATCAGCCTTAATGCAATCATCTCATATTAGAATTTAATTATGTAATTTCCATAACCAAACTCCATATGTAATAATAAATATAATATTATATAATTTTATATGATAAATATTTATATTATTCATTCTATTAATTAATTTTAATTTTCAGATGTACTCTGCGGATACAATGGAACGATCTTCGCCTATGGTCAGACATCATCGGGGAAGACGCACACGATGGAAGGTGTCATAGGTGATCAAAATAGGCAGGGTATAATTCCGAGGATTGTTAATGACATCTTCAACCATATTTACGCAATGGAAGAAAACCTAGAGTTCCATATCAAAGTTTCATATTTTGAAATTTATATGGACAAAATTCGTGATCTTCTGGACGGTAAGGAGAACTTTTTGGTATTTTGAATTTGAATATACAAATTTATTTACATCATTTACTTTATGTTATCATAAATGTGAACATGTCTATGTTTTTTCTTTTCTTTTATTTTCAACAGTCAAAATTTTTTTGAAAGGATCCCTGCACTTCTCTCAACAGCGTCACTGGTGCTAAACCCAGTGAAGATTGAGCGAGAGTGCTTTAGTGCAATCACATTGTCTTTTCTACCTTTAGGCCTTTTTTAAATTATAAGGAAGATAAAAAAAAAAAAATTAAAGGAAATTCAATTCTTAATTTAAGAAGAGAAGCTATGCATGTTGGTTTTATTTAATAAAAATAATATTTTACTAATAAATACATTGTCATTACAGTATCAAAAGTCAACTTGAGCGTCCACGAAGATAAGAATCGAGTGCCTTTCGTAAAAGGGGCTACAGAAAGGTTTGTTTCCAGTCCAGAAGAGGTTTTCGAAGTCATCGAAGAAGGAAAAGCTAACAGGCATATCGCAGTAACCAGTAAGACAAAAAAATTTCATTATTTTAATTTAACGTTATTAGTTATTCTCTACATAACAATTTTATATATACCTAAATACTAATTTATACAATTATTTTTATCTAATTTGTTATTGCCACTCTTTCATTCTAAAATTGCAATATTATAATTATGCGTTTTCTATTTTACAGACATGAATGAGCATAGCTCCAGAAGTCACAGCGTTTTCCTTATAAATGTTAAACAAGAAAATTTGGAAAACGAGAAAAAACTTTCCGGAAAACTTTACCTTGTTGATTTGGCCGGTAGTGAAAAAGTAAGCATAGCAATTATCATTACGTACCTTTTAAGTTAACAATTAATAACAAAATTAATTTCACCATTTAGAATGTTATTTTTGTTAGTCAGAAAAAAAAAAAAAAAAAAAATGTCAGTAATTCTTATTAGGTGTAAAAATCTAACATTATTATTGTGAAAAGAGCAAATATAATATTGAATATTTATATAATCGTTTGGAAGTTGTAGACTTTTTTTTTTATAAGCAAATGGATATACTTGAAAATATCTGAACAAAACAATTGAATTTATATCCATTGAACGTGGAATGATGAAGGAGGACAGCCTTCATAACATCGATACATTTCTATAAATTTTCCAGCTAAAAATGAGTAATGTTAAAAAAATGAAAATAATTTTGATTTATTAGTTAGCTCTACCTTAAAATACAAATATAGTGTTTTCACAACCTAACTAATTTTGTTAAAATGTCTTTAAAAATATTCTCTATAAAATATATTTGTACTTGTACTTATTAAATATATTTTTTACATTAGAGGCAAATGAATCATAAAATTCTTGAAAATGTTTCTATATAATCATCCCTGAATATAAATGAAAATTTAAATATTAGGAGTATTTAAGTAGTGATAAAATAGTTATGTATATACTTATTGACCTTTGCCTAGCCAGCTAGGCGAATTTTCTTAATCGATTTTAGTTTACATAATTTATTCATTCATTTATCTTATTTGTTATCAATTTAAATTTTTTTTTTATTTCAAATTATTGGGAAGCATATCGATCTCTCCGTAGTCTGTGCCTACGGTAGTAAGATATATGATTGCGCTCTTATCAGAGAAAGACATCATTTATAAAAAATCGATTATTTTTTCATCAATCAATTCGAAACAGTTTGAGTTGAATCTGTAAAATGATAATTGACTTTTTCTCCAGTTTCTGAAAATATGCCTATGTTTGATACGAAGCCATTCATTTCACAATTATATTATACCTTATTATTGTTAGTAAAATATGATAATATTGCTATAGGTGTCGAAAACCGGTGCTGAAGGTACGGTCCTGGATGAAGCGAAAAACATCAATAAATCACTGTCCGCACTCGGTAACGTAATCTCAGCCCTCGCCGACGGAAACAAGACCCACATCCCTTACAGAGATTCCAAGTTGACGAGGATCTTGCAGGAGTCGCTGGGAGGAAACGCGAGGACGACCATCATTATCTGTTGTTCACCTGCCTCTTTCAATGAATCTGAAACAAAGTCAACATTAGATTTCGGCCGAAGGTAATTTGTTATTAATAATTTTATCCTATATATTATTTCTAAAAGGTGTTTTTTTTTTGTCAGTATGCCATAACTTTGCCTATTCTTCATCAAATCCAACGATTGACCATTCATTTTGAAGATATTCTTCTCCTTCACGTGCGAAAAATAGTCCTATTCCCCTGTAATTTCTGGTAAAAAAGTTATGAAGGAAAAGAAATTTTATTTGCATAACATTAAAAAGTATGCATTTTTTCCTGGATTGTACCTATGATAATTAAAAAGATAACTAAATTACCTCAAAAAAAAAAATTGTATAAATCGGACAATTATTAACAAAGATACAGCCCATTAGTTTCAGTATACTTACTAATATCTCCCTCTTTAAAGGTATAGCATTTAGGTGTAGAATAGTCGACTACCCTTTTTTTCCTGGCTGATATATTAACTTTATTATTTCTTCAAGACATTTGTTTGTTCTTATATTTTTTTTTTTTTTAATAATTTAGAAAATTCCATGATCGAGGCATTATTTTGTCTTTCTTACTTTTATCTTTCCAGTCAGCGTTTAAAAATAGGTCCTGGCAAAGCAATTTGTACAAATATTTTAGTCTATTATGTTAAATAAGGACGGAATGGCCGAGCACGTTGGGGCGTGTGTCCCAGAGTGCCCTGTTCTGAACATTGTAGTTTTGATTCCCACCTGGGTCGGTTACTTTTCATTTCTCGGCAGTCCCGGGAAATGGATCATGACATTCCCACTCTGGCAAGTAGCTGTGGCAACCTTAAAGGTAGCCGTCAGGGGTTGGCAAAACGGATTAGGCTATAGGCCCTCTTGCCGGACTAGTTCCCCCCACCCAGTATCAGTATTATTTTAAATGGAATATTGTAATCGACCAAGAAAAAATATTAATTCCTTCCTTACATAATACATAGGATCTACTTATTTCCATATTTTTTTGCTATTTCTTCACTAAACAAAATTTTCTGTGAATTATTCGCACGGGCCAACTAGTAATTATTTAATGCTGCACTCATTTATAAATTGCATTGAATTGAATAGACTATAATTTTTTCTTCCTCTCTTCCTGTTACAAATTATTGTTTATTATCTTTTACTTAAGTTTTCTCTGAATTAATTCTAATCAGTGTTGGTTTAATTTTTAGACATTATGTACTCATTTCAATTCACAGCAAAATAGTATTTTATCCAAACTTTTTCGGTAATATACTGTGGAAGTGTGGCTGTTCCTGGATCTATTTTTATTTTATTTATATTGATCTGAATTTATTTTATTGATATTGAGTCTTATCAATGCAGATTACATTAAGTTATTTATTTTTCAGAGCTAAAACTATCAAGAATGTAGTTACTGTAAATGAAGAACTGACGGCGGAAGAATGGAAGAGGAGATACGAGAAAGAAAAGGATAAAGTTGGAAGGCTCAAAGGAAAATTGGAAAAATTGGAGATTGAATTGAACAGGTAGGATCTTAAGTTTATTTGTAATTTGTATACTACTTAAAGATTGTCCTTTTTATATTTGAATTTTAATTTAAGTTTTATGTACAACAAGAAAGCTACAAAAGAGGTTGGTTCCTAACTCTGTCCCTCCTTGTTTTGCTTGCTATTCTTCGGAAGTACTTCATTTTTGTAGAAGTAGATCTACTCTGGTGCCTGTCCAGCAGGATCCAGCTCTCAAAAACTTTTCAAGATAATTAAATTCTAAGTAGACCATCGTAAAGCAGACAAACATTTTTGAGAAATCAGTGATTAAATTTAGGAAAGACAGTGATAAAAGAGACTTTCAGAAGGTCTAATACGACCGCTCAACAAAGGAATGCTACTCGTTTATGGGTACTGTGACTGCAGCAGTACAGCAGCCATATTAGACCTCCTGAAAGTCCCTTTTATCGTTTACTATAATAAATTTAATCACTGTTTTCTTTAAAAAAAAAAAATTATCTATTTTATGATGGTGTGCTTTTAATTTAACGTGAATTTAATTACCTTGTACATTTTTTGAGCAGTAACTTCTTATTCAATAAAAACTGTAACTACTTAAAGAAAAACACAAAATTCATCTTAACTCCTTTTTCCTTTTTTTATTTACGCTTCCGGTATTTTAGTTCAAACTTCGTCAGACAACCGTTAGAGATGTCGCCACAATACATTTCCTCTCTCTCTCCTCCCTTGCTACCATATACTCACTTCTCCAACAACCTTTTTGGAGGCAGGTTTTTTTTTTTTTTCTCTCTTTCTTATTTCATCCTTCTCAATCTTTTTTCCTCCTTCCTTTCATTCCTGTACTCTGTTTTAACTCTTTATTATATTACACGTTGTCTGTACATTTTGATAGACTTTACAATATCTCAATTTTCTATCTGACTGTTCTATTTGCAATATCTTAATTTTGCTATTTATTTTCATTTATTATATAACTTTATATTTCTTTTTTATGTTTTACATTTTATTCTAAGATTCCCATTTTAATACTTATGTCACCCTTTTTGATTATGCCTACTTCATCATTCCACACTTTGTAACGGTTATTATTATTTATCTCTTAGTTCTTACTATTGTCATTATTCTACCAACTTCATTTTACTTTAATTTTTTTTACCTACACTACTCCTCATGTTTCTCATACCTTGTTATCTGGTTCTTTTCTTAGCCCTGATGAAGGCCTGAGCTTCAGGTCGAAACGTCGGCAAATGTAAAAATATTTATTTATTTATACATGATATTTACAACTGTATTAAAAAATTAAATACATTAAGTAAATTTGATAACAGAAAATAAAAACATGAAATGACTTGTTGAGAAACTACCCACTGGTAGCACTCAATGTAAAAATAAATATTATAATTTATTTTTGCCTTCTTATTTGACTGATCACCCCAACTATTCTTCTCTTCATAACTCCTTTTTCGTTCGGTATCGGCCCATGCATCAAATGTACTTTCTAGTTGGAAATTTTGTCTTGAATCACGAGTTTGGTTATTAAGAACTGAAACACCCTGTTTAAAGCCTTTTCTTAAAATTTAATAAAAAAAGGACAGTCTTGAGTTCCATTATTTCATTAGCTATTAAACTATAATATATTTCAGACGTAGATAGTTTTACAAATGATTTTGTAAACAATATTGTCATCTATCTTACGTTCTGTTCTAAAGTGATTTAATGTGTCCATACTAACAGGTGGCGACAAGGAGAGACTGTAAATCTGGAGGAACAGGTGAACTTCCAGGAGCCGGTAGAAGTTGCTACACCTGTCACTTCAACCGTCGAAATTATTAAACGTAATTTATTTATTCAATTTCATTTAACTTAATTCTGCTTTACTGACCACTTCAAAGTTTATCACCATATAAAATTGATATAATTCACGTAGTTAAAAGAAAATATATATACATATAATTAAGTGGCCTTACATTGAAGACGGTAATCTGTCATTTTTAAAAAGTCGAGAGAAACCTAATTTTTGTAACGTAGCTTCTATTAAAACCAATTCTAATGATTTTGTTTCATGATTCAACTTCTTAAATATAATAATAAAACCACGTATTTGATCACAATAGTTATACTTTATTTATCACTTTTACATCAGCGTTTTAGCACTTAAGCCATTATCAAGGGAAGAAACCTTTAACAAATAAAAGAATCATCACAGCCTAATTATATTTGCTAATTAATTATTTTTATTTAATACTCTATTTTACATACCTATTTTAATAAATAAAAATCATTATGGGCTGAATTGTCCTTGTCAACTCCATTTAACAAGTCAAACTCTAAAACCTTCCTCTATAAGGTTATGTTTATTTCAAAACCTCATTACATTGTTTAAATATAAATAATTAATTAGCAAATATGATTATGGTATAGCAGGTATAATTATAGTGATGATTATTTTATTGGTTAAAGATTTCTTTTCTTGATAATGGCCTAAGGGCTGAAACGTTTACATAAAAAAATAAATAAATTAGTTCGATAGTAATAAAATATCTGGTTTTATTATTACGATTAAGGTGAAGTCCTAACATATATTTTCTTAAATATACTTCAACATTCTTAAATAAAATTAAAAAAAAAAAAAATGACTTCTCCACTTTCTAAAAATGACAGATGTCCTTCTCTGATACGAGACCAACTCAATTAAATAATAATTTCAAAAAGTCATTAAGTAGCTTAGTATATAATTAAATAACTAAGCATTTTGGTGAATTTTCCATTAGTGAAATCAGAACATTATGCAACTTATGTAACTAATAGGGTGTATAAAAAAAAATTACCGTTTAATCAAATTCAAGATTTCAAAGGACTCTAAATATTTTAATCCTATTTAATACATAACAATACTTAATAATCGCTTTAGAGCATTCTCTTAGCTAATCCCTTTCGACTTCTTAAAAAAAAAAGCCTCAGTTTAGTTATTTGTTTCAAAGAAGAAACATGGCAGTGTTCTACGAAATTCTTGTAACTTTAAGGTATTGCTGGAAAAAAAAATTTCACTTCACTCAAAAAAGCAACTCATGAAATTATTAAATATGAAGGGGAAGGTGTCCTTGATCAGTGTTTTGTGTGCCACTTTGGTTTGAAAAATTTAACAGTGGAGATTGGACCGAAAGGAAGAAGGGCTCCAGGCGCCCATTAATGAATAATGATGAGGTTCTGCAGGAACTTGTTGAGTTAAACTCTTCCACGAGTACTCGCGAACTAGCCAGGGAGTGTGTTTTGTTGAAATATACTGTTAGTTGCCATTTACTCTCCATGAGGAAGGTGACAAAGAGCAGTAGATTGGTCTCTTATGAACTCAGCAATCAGCTAAGAGGCTAGAAATTTGTAAAAATTTATTGAAAAACTCCTGCCTCATCCACCATATAGTCCATACCTCGCACCATCGGATTACTATTTATTTAGATCCATTCCCCATTTTCTTCAAGGGAAAAAATTTGATAATTTTGTGGAAGTTGAAATTGCGGTCCAAGAGTTCATTGACAGCTATCTCAAAGAATGGTATCAGGGTGGGATCAAGCAATTGGCTAGCAGATGGCTAATGGCGGTAGATAACAATGGACCATACTTTGAGTATTAATTGTATTTTATATCAAAGAAATAATAATGCAAATATTTGATTCAAAAACTGTCATTTTTTTTTTTTTATACAGTCTATTGTTATTTTTCATATACAATATAGTTTTTGTTATTTTTATATACTTACTGAGCTTTTGCAACAATAAATAAGGTCAAAATCACTTAAGATGTACTCGAAAATTAATTCAGACAATAAGTAAACAATATATCAATTAATTGACTGTTAGATTATATTAAATTATTCTTCTGAATGTTTTCTTATTATCATCAGTAAATCTTAACGAATAAAAAATATTGTTGTTATATTGTAATAAACCACTAAATACATTTTTAATAGAGCATTTTTTCAAGCACACTTTTGTGAATTTTATCCTTATTTATCAATTTAAAAATACAGATAATGTTTCAAAATGACACGAACTCTTTTATGAAATGTTCCGTGATGATTTTTTGCGATATCTCTGTATATTGTAGATTTGTTTCTTGATAAACTGTATCATCTTTAATTCATTCCTTGCTTAGATTTTTTTCATCTTTCCCTCATACATTAATCCTGTATGAAGACCGTGTATTATTAATTTTAAATGCTCCACGCATTACACATAATATATGTATCAATTAAAGTATTACAATTCTTATAAAAGTTATAAATTATATGATTTTAGTTATAATAGAAAGTTAATTTTTTCCTCATAAATCTCTTAAAACAAAATAAAATAGACTATACATAAGATAATTATAAAAAAACTAAAACAGAAAACATATAATTAAAAAATAAAATGAAACAAAATATCTATAATTAAATTATTAATACAATCTTCTTAGAGGAGTTGAAGATCAACTTTAATTGTGAATTTCTTGTATCTCCTTATTGTGTTTTTTGAAAATATCCTTTTCTCTTAGCGGCCATTTATCTATCTATTAGGTACCATAGAGAACTAGGCTTCATATTAAATTACGGCGTTTACTGTTTAAGATTGGGCAATCATAAATAATATAATATTGGTTTTATAAAATGATAAAGGGATTTAATTTTTTGTTTGAAGTATACTTTAACTTCCCTTTTCTCCTAAATACAATCTATTGTTACAAAGATAGATAATTGTACGTTATGATATTGTTTAACTTTTTTAATTTGTATTATTTTAGCTGGCCTTCCAGTTCCTGCGACTCCTGGCATAATGCTCGGCTCCTTGTCGAACGAGGAAAGGCAGAAGCTAGAAGAAGAAAGGGAGCGACTGTACCAGCAGCTGGATGAGAAGGACGAGGAGATCAACCAGCAATCGCAATACATTGAGAAGCTCAAGGAGCAGATGCTTGAACAAGAAGAAGTACGGTATCATCCAATTAAGAAATTAGACTTTTATTTCTTATTCATTCTTATTTATCTATCTTTTTTTTTTCAACAGTTAATAGCATCTACAAGGCGCGATTACGAACTTCTCCAGCAAGAGATGAACAGAATCACTCAGGAGAACGAATGCGCCAAAGAAGAAGTCAAGGAAGTTCTACAGGCTCTTGAGGAATTGGCTGTGAATTATGACCAGAAGTCTCAAGAAGCCGACACCAAGAGCAAGGAGAACGAGAACTTGGCTGAAGAGCTTTTGTCAAAGCAGGTTAGCTAAGAAATAAATTGTTAACAAAGATATAATTATTTAAAAATATAAATGCTTTCCTTATATATTTAATGGAAGTTCTTGCAGACATTAGCAACTAATTAGCCCGAAAATAAGTAAAATAATTATTTGAGAAGGAGTTGATCGGGGGTTGCGGTCAAATTAATACTAAATTAAACAAGTAGAATTATTTAATTTTTTGATGTTTTGACCCACTTTGCAGGTTTTCATTAGGGCTACAAAAGATACAAAACATGGTGAAAATAATATAAATAAATATAAGTATATATAAAATAAGAATAAGTTGTCTGATACAGAAATAAAAAGATAATATCAGAGATATATCTTTTTACAGATCTTTTCAGAGATCATATTTTTATTTCTGTATCATACAACTTATTCTTATTTTATATCTACTTATATTCATTTATATTATTTTTACCATGTTTTGTATCTTTTGTAGCCCTGATGAAGACCTGCAAAGTGGGTCGAAATGTTATTAATTTGACCGAACCCCCCGATCAACTCCTGCTCATATTATATCGACGGTCAACCATCTCTATATCATCATAAAATAGTTATTGTATTTTTACTCTCATACGTTGTAAAAATTGATATTAAGGATATTCACATAATTGTGTTATAGTGCTAAACAGGTAGCATGAATCTTGGGTGATTAAACCCTTTGTGTTGTTCTGCTTAAGTGTTAATGGCCATAGTAAGTTTTTTAACAAGTAGAAGTTTGGTTTTCCAATCCTCCACTTGTTGGTTTTAATTTTTAAGGGCTTATTTTTATTTTATTTGATCACTTTTATCCTCTTTTTTTTTTTTAAACATTTTCTGAATTCCTTCCACATCTTTTTTTACGTTCTGTTCCACTTAAAATCAAAGTTGAAAACCTTATATTAAGCTTCTCCACACGTTTATGAAGTTAACCGTATTTAACACACTAATCTTAAATAAGTTTCTCGACTTAAATGCATTTTAGAGGTTTTTGATAATTAACATTGGTTGCTTGAATAACCTTATTGTTATTTATTACATTTCTTGTTAAAAGATGTAAATAGTTGATTGAGGCCCTGATAAGGTTGTGGTACATTAGCAGTCTCAACCCAGAAACAGCATGAGTTCTCATTACTAGGAATTAAAAAAAATATTTAGTACAAAACAAATAATGTTATTAATTTTTAGCTTGATAATATATTGAAACATCTTTTTATTTTTTTTTAGTCCTTGTTGAACACCACTTCTTCCGAGCTCCAGCAGCTGAAAGACATGTCTTCCCATCAAAGGAAGAGGATCATGGAAATGCTTGCCAACTTACTCAAAGACCTTTCAGAAATAGGTGTCGTCATTGGAGGTGGCGACAGCGAAATCAAGGTATTCATTTAATGTTTTAGAAATTTCCGATTATTATTATATTTGTCTTTAAGTATTGATAAACAAACATTAATTGTTTGTATCAGTTGCAAAGTGATTTAAATGCTTAATTATAATATAATTGATTTGTAATTAAAATGATAATCTGAGTGAGTTATTTATAAATTAATATAATAAACATTCAATTGTAAGATGTTTGCCATGTATTTATATTATGTAGTAAAAAAATCATTACATTAATCTTTTAATAAATGTTTTATTTTTAGGTCTCAGCTGACAGCAATGGAAAACTAGAAGAAGAGTTCACAGTCGCAAGGCTGTATATATCGAAAATGAAATCCGAAGTTAAGAATTTGGTACAGAGGTGTCAAGGTTTGGAATCGTACCAAGTGGATTCGAATAAGAAGGTCAGTCATTTTTTTTTTAATGATTAGTTCAAAAAATATTTAAATCGTCTTCTTCTTTATAATTATTGTCGATAACACTCTTCTTTTTATTATGTTTAAAGATTTCGGAGTACGAGAAGGACCTTGGCGAGTGCCGATTACTCTTGTCTCAGACCGAAGCCAGAATGAAATCTCTTCAGGAGTCCATGAGGGAGACCGAGGCCAAGAAGAGGGCTCTCGAGGAACAGCTGGACACGCTGAGGGAGGAGTGTGCCAAGATGAAAGCTGCAGGTTTGTGTTTAATATGCTATATACTGTTTGATTTTATTATAATGCTCTTATATCCAGGCAAGAACTGTCACATTATATATCTATCCTTTGTCTCACTGATATTAAGGGAAAAAGTTCTAAATAATTTTTCAATTATTAATAATATTTCTCTGATAATATTCTTATTAAAAATATAATATTATCAATGAAAAATTCTTTTCAATCCATACAGTAACATTGAAAAAACGTCTTGTAAATTTGAACTGAAATATAATTCAAGTGATTAAGAATGTATTCCGATTGCGTTTTTTATGTAAAAAAAAAGGTCACAATTTTGCTGAAAACTTTAAATAATAACGAATTTTAAGTCTGGGAATTGAGGTCAGGATTGGAAATGACGTGTACAGTTGCCCAAACACGATACTCACAAACCTCTCTCAGCTGTACTTTATAAATATGCATTTATAAAAGCTCATAAAATATGTTTTGAGCTAAATAATTATATGGAGAGGCGATAGGGTGATAGAAAAATGGAATGCTATGCATTTATTTTTATTGAAGTTTCTTTCTATATTATCTTAGGTATCCAAGAAATCTTTATGATATTCTCTTTTGTTTAACTTTTTAATAGACTTTTTAGTTTATCATGAACTATAATCGATAATATATAGCAAAGATGGGCAAATACTATTCATAGTACCGAGTACAAAGTATTTTACTCAAATTGAATCACTGTTAGGAATTCAATCACTACTTAAGTTAATTGCTTGACATCAAATGAAGTAGTAATTAAATTCTTTGGTACTCAAAAAAGTCAGTATCTCAGTAAAATACCTGGTACTCAGCAGTCGGAGTAGTATTTCCCGATCTCTGATAAATTATTATTATTATCACGGCGCTACAACTCGGTGGCGAGTCTTGCCTCCTCAACCAGCTTCCTCCAGTCATCTTTGTTCAGTGCGGCCATCATCCAGACCCCGACTCCCAGGTCATCCCTTGAATCTCTTTGCTACACCATCTGACCATCTTAGTTTTGGTCTCCCTCTTCTTCTTGAGCCGTAGAGAGGTTCTGTAAGGATCATCTTAGAGATTGCTTCATCCTCAGAACGACATCTTGATCATTAAAAGTTGAGCAAATTTCGGCATTTGTCCGTCTTCTCCAATTTCCATCAATCTGTACTCCTCCAAATATTCTTCGAAGAATTTTTTTTAGGGGTTCACTGGTAACACAAGACAATGCACCCTAGGTCGAGGTCAAGAAAAGAATATTTATGGCTTACAAGTGTTACTTTGCCCTTCGCAAGGGATTCACCTCTCGCCTTCTATCCCGGCATAACAAGCTACATATCTATAAAACACTAATCCTCCAAGTCCTGCTCTACGCTTCAGAATCCTGGAGGACAACTAAAAAAAAAATTGAGCAAGACCTCCTAATCTTTGAGAGAAAAATTGAAGAATTTTTCTGAGAAAAGAAAAATCTCTGATAAATAGTGATTTTTTAATTTTTATAACCAAACCAAATCTGATAAACATGGATCTGTAAGTTGTCCCAAAAATGGTATTAATACACAAGGCACAGGGCTTTGTACGCTTTAGTAATGCCTCTACTGGTTATTGATGTCTATATCAAAATCTCCATTTGTCCCAGCTCAATCCAATGAGTGTTGTTTTGAAACCATCTACCTATTTTAATCAATTTTATTGTAGTTGTAAGAATTCAAGGATTGGATCTATTTCAAACTCTGTCAGAAAGTTTCAATATGAGTACAAGTTAACTTTTTAGTCAGATTTTTTTCTCAATATAATATTTTATTTATATTTATTTTGTTAAGTCAGAATGCACGAGATATTTATTAATGGCTATTTTTCCTTTCAGAACAAGTACACGCAGTCTCGTCGAAGGAGAAGGCCGAAGAGAAGAAAAACGAGGCGACGATGAGGGTCGCCCTGGAGCAGCAGATGGACCAGCTCAGGGACACCTACCAGAAGCAGATCGCGGCCCTCAGAGACGAGATCGCAGAGAAGCAGGAACAGGTGTCGATCGTCAAGGACGAGAACCAGAAGTACACCCTCGCCCACCAGCAGCTCCAGCAGGACTACGAGAAGCTCAAGCAGGAAGAGCAAGAGAAGAGCAACAAGCTGCAAGAGCTTATGTAAGCTCAATCAATTATATCTTATTGATTTTATTATAATTTATTTATTTATATATTAATATCTGGGCGATGATTGAAAAAAATAGGAATAACCATTGATTATTTAACAAAATGGGCAAATGGATGTTGACAGAAATTTATTTCAGTATCATATTCTTACAATCAACTCCACATACGTTTCTCTCTTAGAAAAGCGTGTTGACAATACTAGACAAGGATAACTATTAACAATAACCCAGTGCCTTAAAAAAAAGTATGTACAATACCTCGGACTCTACTAAGACAAGAGACTTACTTGGAACATATATAAGAAATTAAAAAGACAAGAACTGACTAGACGATATAACTAACTCTCACATCTTCTCGACTAGAGATCCTCACTTAACTTACGAAACAAGCGACTGATATAAAACAGTATACTGGAAAATTGTTGATGCACCTTGGTATATATTTCAAATAACACTCTACATAAAACTCCTACAGTAAAATGCTACATCTATGATAATTACATTACATTTCATTCTTCAACTTGAAATCACTCCAATCCACTAGCTCTTTATATTTCCTGCTCTCTGTTACCTGATCAAGGAAGAATAAAAAGAAAATGACCAAGAGACATACTCATTCAATAATAATAAAATTAAAGCAAATTTGCAGCAAATAATCAATATGTCAAAAATTTAAATAAAGTAGTGACTTGCTCTTTACTATCCTGTAGGATTTCTCATAATGTTTTTGCTTGTCCAATTTTTTTTTGTTGTTTTCAAATTAGGGGCATCCTTCCAATAGATGTTTTATCGTTTGAGGTATGTTATGCCATTTTTCAAACATAAGCACTTCGATACGTTGAAACTGGCAGTGCCTAATCCTAAGTCGGTACAGTATAACTTCTTTTCTTCTCGACGAACTTCTGGAGCTAGTGGGCCATTTACCGCAATTAAGTTTTACTCCTGTCAGTTTACACTCTTTCACTCACTGTCAGGTTACACACTACACTCTGTCACAATCCTGATCGGTTCCGAAAACAACCATTTGGGAATTGTTTATTTATTTTATGAACTTCGTGTTTTTATTAATTTGCTCCCACTTAATTTTTTTTTTTTCAAAACTAAAATTTCATTTCAATTAGTGGACTATTGTCCTCCAAGTCTCAGAGAAAAACATATTTAAAATCAACCTTAATAAGTATGAATTAATGTGTTTTCCTCTTTTGCTTGATTTTTGCCAAAATACTGTTTCCAGACTTCTCCACTGGTCCTTTTTTTCTTTAACATTTAAAGGTTGTTTTTTTATTGCCGAACAGGCTGACAGTAGAAAGGAGGGAGCAGGCCCGGAAAGATCTCAAGGGGCTTGAGGACACCGTCGCCAAAGAGTTGCAGACGCTCCACAACCTTAGGAAGCTGTTCGTCATGGATCTCCATGCAAGGATCAAAAAGGTAAGTCTTACTATATTTACTCTATTTTGTTATTTAGGTAGGATAATGGAGTGGATTCGTTGGAATATACAGAACAGTTTAAGAAAATATGAAATTGAAGAGGATATTAATTAAGGCTAGGAAGTGCTTGTTAGAAAACTACTTAATTCACGCCTCCTATCTGGTAATTTTAAAAAATTATAATTTACTAAACTTTTATCTTTTCTCTGGTTCTTGATGGATGCGAAATATGGCCGCTTACATTAGAAGATGAGCAGTGACTTAAAGTTTTTGACAATAAAGTGTTGTATAGAATATTCAGACCGAAAAAAGATATGTCAGAAGACTGATAAAGGATTTTTCAAGCGTAACCTTTAACATTCTCGAGTCAAGAGAATGTTAAAGGTTAGATTTGAACACACTCGGCCATTATGATCTCAACTTACTTTAACCTTATCTGGTAAATGTAATCGAAATGATTGATTATATTGCGGTGAATAAAATGGGCATATAAAATTATTGTGTTTAGCAACGAAAGAACTCCAAAAAGCTCAATGTATGCTGTGTTGAGTGGTAAGTGTCTAATGATTAGACCGAAAGGAGGGTTGGAGGATTGCATAAAGGCTGACCTGGCGGTTTTGGGTTTTGACAGTGGTTGTGGGATAGATATATGTAGACAGCGATTGTCATGAAACCTTTTTGTGGGCGAGGTGGCTGAATGGGCTAATGTGTGTGCACTGCACCGTCGTTGCCCGGCAACCTGACATATCAATCAAATGATATAAAAATAGTCACGAGTTCGCGTTCCGGTGCCGGGGGAGTCTTTTGAATCCCCGCCCACACCCCCTGGCCGGGAAAACCCCATATAGCCTTAACGGCGAGGAAGGGGAGGACCACAAAAAAAAAAAAAAATGTTATGGAACCTTCAGGTTCGCTCAGTCTTAATGATTAATATTATACCGAATTATTTGAGTTGTTATGGTATATAATTTGTTCCTTTGATTCAAAGTTGATAAATTTCTTCCGAAATTGTTTTGTTTCTTCTAGTTGTTTTATTTAAAGATTAGACAAAATATTTTATCAAAAATTGGAGTTTATTCAGCCCCTATTGTTTTATTTAAAATATTAAATATTGTAAAAAAGTTCACTATCAAGCATTTCATCTATTTTTTCTCTTGTTTAGTCCGCCAATGCAGAAGATGAGGACGATGGCGGCTCCCTCGCCCAGAAACAAAAGATCTCGTTCCTCGAGAACAATTTGGACCAATTGACCAAGGTACACAAGCAGCTGGTCAGGGACAATGCCGATCTCAGGTAAGCTGGCAATTTATGATAGTTTTGTTATTTAATATTGATTTGTATCAATTATTGTTGTTCAGTTTTGATTTTTTTTATCAAAGAATCTTTTAAGAATGTGTATATTTAAAGGTTATGGAGAATGAATAATTTTTTTTCTAAGCTAGATGGGGAGCGACCATTTCCGGATTAAAAGGAATTTGTTAAAAATCCACTTGGTTTAATATTTTTCATCATAAAAACTATTTTTCTTTCAACTTAATTTTATTTTCTATACGACATAATACATAAATTAATAAAAACAATTCAGATTCTGTGATGAAATATCTTTTAGTCCATGATAATAGCCCTTTTTCGCAAATTATTAAACTTCCCCCTAAAACTTTCTGAATGGCTTCATCTTATGGTAACTTGCAAATTTTTTATCTATGGAAATTCTCAGAAATGGGGCGTTTCCTCATTAAATTAATTAATTGACAAAATATTGGGTCGTTTATCCCATGTAAACCTCCTTATTTTGACATTTTGGGGGTGAAGGTCACGCCAAACAGCCCAATATTTTCGTAGGCCACATTTCTTCTGTATTTTGTGTTAAAATATCTTGCAATTCAAGTGGTAATACAAGTACCTAATTAAATAGACAAAGCTTTCGGATCTCCAGATTGAAAACGCCCCAATTTTGAGAATTTTCATTATTAAAGAAGTTATAGGTTATTATGATAGATGAAATTTTAGGCTGAGGGTTTGTACAATGAACTATTTGAGATTGGACCTCAAATTTTATTTTTTTATAATGATATAGTGATGGTTGACCGTGATATAATATAATAAGAGTAGGAGTTGATCGGGGGGTGCGGTCAAATAAATACTAAATTATAGAAATAGTATTATTTAATTATTATGCCGACGTTTTGACCAAAATAAATACAAATTAAATAAATAAAATTTAAAAAAATAATAATAAATAAATAAAACTAATAATAAATAATACAATTATAATAATAAATAAATACTAAATTATAGAAATAGTATTATTTTATTTATTTATTATTATTTTTTTTAAATTTATTTATTTAATTTGTATATTTTGGTCAAAACGTCGGCATAATAATTAAATAATACTATTTCTATAATTTACTATTTATTTGACTGCAGTACATTAGTGGCGTAATTTAAACAATTTGTAAATTGAAAAGTGTTATAAATGGTTTGGTAAAACTAGTTAGGTTATAAATTGGGTATTTTGTGGACATATTTTATATTTTTACTGAAATTCTTTAAATCTTAAGTTCTTACTAAATATTGGATTATTATTTGATCAGGTGCGAGCTTCCAAAGCTGGAGAAGAGGCTGAGGGCTACGATGGAAAGAGTAAAGGTAATTTACAATCACATCATTATTTTTATTCAATTTTCTAATCATTATATTTATTTATTTATTAACTAGTCCAATTATTGATTTCTGTAACATTCTCAAGTCTAGCGGTGTTGGTCTGAATCAGCCCTGCGTGGCGGGTTGAAATGTATTTTGTGACAAATGAAAACCTTTTAGAAATTCTGACAGCGTAGTATATTGTACCAGATACTTAGGTTTTGGAGTGAAAAGGTTTTTTATTTAACTAAAGAAAAGAAAAGAAATTCTGCATAATTTGAAACTACGAAATGGCAAACTACAAATAAAAATTTCAAAATCTAATCTTCTGAAGGAAAGTGATAAGGAAACCTACCTGAAACAAAGAAAGACCTTTCTTCATTAATGAATCAACTACCAATCAGCTGTTGTGCCATGTTATAACTTGAGGTTCATGCAGCACCCTCTTTTAAGTGTTTTAACTGCAAATCTATTCATATTTCCACTCTCTTTTAGGCGTATAAAGTTTATTATCTGTAAATGAGTTTAAAACTATCTATTAGTTAGTACAGTGTCTATTACTGGTTCATTTATCTTAGTGGTGTAGATACAGTCGTGGTCGTAGGAATTGTTCATCTAATAACAATTTTATTAGATTTTATTTTATTTCCATTTTTGAAGCGATATTCTAAAAATAATCGCACCATTAAGCTGCTTTCATATTGTTCGTTTGTTTTTTCTCCTCCCAGTTCCTTTCTTTTGCTCCATGGTTTTCTAATATCGGTTAATATATATATTAAAAAAAAACATGATACTTATAGGATCCTAAAGGGTTAAGGATTTGAGAGAAACTCCTTTTGCTGGTAGCTTAAGGAGCCATAAAATTAGTTAGTACATACTTAGTACTTATCGCCTGCCGAGGTAATCATTAGTAAGTTAGTGGTAGTAATAGGTTTACTACTGCCATGAAAACCATTAAAGTTATTTTTTAATATTATGCTACTGTTGATTGATGTTACCATTTCCTTTTCGCTATTTCCCATGAAAAATCTTTCACTTTCTAGGACAGCTGTTTGAAACTGGTCATAATTTTATATATTTTATTGTGGCATTAGTTGAAACTGAACTGAGAAACTTCTTTGTATCTTGAATTCTTATGTATTTTTTTATGAAGGTTTGTGAAAACTTTAAGTCTCCAAAAAAATATTAATCAATCATGCATTTAAATGATAATTTTTCAAAATACGGTTAATATTTAATTTGATGTTATTGATTACAATGATGTTCTTGTCCCAGGCGCTGGAAACTGCATTGAAGGAGGCTAAGGAAGGCGCGATGAGAGACAGGAAGAGGTACCAGTTCGAAGTGGACAGGATCAAGGAGGCTGTGAGGCAGAAGAACCTCGCCAGGCGAGGACCTTCAGCCCAGATCGGTTGGTTCAATATTATTTTTTCTTTTGACTAATAACATATCGTCTTATAAATTCTAATTCAGTTCTCTATTTTTTAATATTTCTATGAAATTTTAATCCTCACATGGCACTCTTGATTTAAAATTTATTCAGTATGATAAAAAAAATGAAGAAATATATTCCTGCGACCGGAAAAACGACTTTTCTACTAAAAAAGAAATTTATTTTCAAGATGTTTCACCTATCGAGCCATCATTAGTTGATTTGGTGTTGCTAAGGGAAGCTGTCCCAGTAAACAATGTAGAATTTGTATTTAAATTTAAGATGGTTTACTAGAACAGGAAGGGAGCAGGGTAGCTGAGTGGGTTGGACACTGACCTTCAAAGCTTAAGGGTTCGAATAATAATAGTTGATAAATTATTTATTCCGTTTTATCGGCCGTGGATCGACCCTCATGGGGCTCACCGAACCATTATAAACTGGATACTGTTAATTAATTAAGGGAAAAACCAGGTGGTTAAGATCTCGGACAAACACCTTACACAAACATTTGTCTTGAAACCTTACAAAGTACTAGACTCGAGACCCTCCATGGGTTGTAGAGGGACAGGTTTTTTTTTATTTTATTTTATTTTTACTAAAACATGTTCATCCCCTTAACACTACCAAATCAACTGATGATGAGCTGATAACGCTGAAACGTCTTGAAAATAGAAATTTTTTGAGTTGTGAAGTTGTTTTTCTGGTCTTCCCATGGAATTTTAATATTTATAATTTACAAAATGAGACTCCAAAAATAATAAAAAAACACTGCAAATTATTTCACAATGGTTTATTATTTTCAAACAATTATACATCTAAAGTAACATTACCTTTCGAGTTACAAAGAAAAAAAAACTAAAGTTTTCTTTAATCATTAGTAATATGCTAAAAAAAAATGGCATTACTTCAGTAACACATTCAAATTTTTTTTTTTTTTTTTTTTAGGAAATTTCGTAAACTTTAAAAAAACTGTATACAATATTAACAAAAAACTAAAAACTTTTCGAGTTATTCGGAATTTAATTTTACCATCCCTCGTAACTTTTTATCCAGCTTCTTTTCGTTGAAGTATGTTATATAGTTAAATTTGAAGGGCGTCGAGAAAATGACTTTAGCGAAGTTTCATTGAAATCTGTACATTCGTTTAGGAGCTACAGTCTATAGCAACGCAGGTTTTTCGGCCGCCATTTTGAAAGTTATAGGCGGAGAGTAATGTCGATGAAGGAGGATCATCCTCGGGTGACCACTGATTTTATATCAAAATTTGAAAAATTCGTTCCAGTAGTTTCGGAGAAAATGCGCCGACGGACAAAAAAATTTTTATTCGTTTTTCGAATTCTACGCGTCCTGAAACGTGAAACTTCAAATTTTGAGAGGGGGTTAAGTTTTTGAATTTTTTGGCTCGATCACAATGGTGGATTATTGAAAATAATAAACCATAATGTATCCCACCAATCCTACCTTTTGACTAAAAGTTATATTAGATCTCTAACATACCAATCTAAATTTATGCTTAATATTTATTATTACAATTAATTTAATTAATAGTTGATAGGTTTTGAATAAAGGAAGTTTCTATTAATGTCGTAAATCTTATAATCTATAATGTGTTTCTTTCAATTTCTAGCTAAGCCTATCAGAGCTGGGCAGTACCACGTCATCTCTAGCGGTGGCGGAGGCGGGAGGACCATCATTTCCCCATCGAGGCCGGTCGACGACGAGCCGAGGAAGCGGAAAGCAATTGGTAACTACATATATGTTTCTATATAGGTGAATATGTTTTCAGTGCTTCGTTGTTCTTGTTGTCGGTGTTTGTTCGAAGGCAGTAAATTTGTTTTTTATTATTCCTGGTATTGAAGAAAACCAATCGGTAACTACATTTATTGTAGCATACCTTTTATATTTGACAAATAATAATAATATAACCTCGGAAGATCACGTTTTACCCTTAGGAGACTTCCAAAAGAAATAAGAGGTTGTTAAATAAAAAACAAAATTATAAGAGTATTAATTTAATATATTGATTTATCTCAGATGTGGGTTACTGACAATCAGATCAACTCAATCATACAAACTACACTAAGCACTGTTTGATTTTAAAATAAAGTCAAATATTCAAAGTTGGCACAAGCAGGCTTTCGTCCGGGGAGGCAGACTCAAGATCACATTTTCGTGCTAAGAGGCATCGCAGAGAAAGCATGGGACAGATACAAGAATATATATATGGCATTTCTGGACCTCAAAGCAGCATTTGACTCTGATCCAAGACAAGAAATATGGGATGCTTTGGCGGCAAAAAATGTTCCAGCTGATCTTATCACGGCAATTAGATCAGCATATAAGGCAGCAAAAGGAATGGTAAGAATTAATGGTAGAGAGTCCAAGCCTTTTCCCATGGAGAGAGGAGTCGGGCAGGGAGACAGCCTAAGTCCCCTCTTGTTCATCATATTTATGGATGAAATCCATCAAATTTGTAAGCATCGTACTGCTTGGACTGTTGTCGGAAAATGGAACCTGCGCAATATTATGGTCCAAAGCCTACTATATGCCGATGACATCATTCTGATTGCGGACACGAAAGACAAGCTGCAGCAGGCCCTTGTAAAATGGCAGGAAGAACTCCTCCGCAAAGGTATGATTATCAATAGCTCCAAAAGCAAAGTCCTAGTCATATCAAGAGAGGAACAAGAAGACGTCCAGCTGATCTGTAACGGGCAGGTACTTGAAGTTGTGCAAGAATTCTCCTATTTGGGTACAATTATTAGCAACAAGGGGAAGATTGACCCAGAAGTAGCGAATAGGATATCCAAAGCCAATCAGGTATATTACCCTATCAGCAACACTATAGTAGGGCACAGGGAAGTTGGCAAGGTAACAAAAAGGCACATATACAAGTCGGTACCTCCCAACCCTCACGTATGGAAGCGAAAGCTGGATTGTGCTGGACAAGCAGGTTAGCCGTGTGACAGCAGCTGAGGTGAAGTTTCTGCGGAGAGCTGCTGGAAGACCAGGAGAGACCGCCTCAGAAATGAACGCATAAGAGAGGATCTGGAGGTGGCGGAGCTAAGGACTTTACTGGAAAACCGACAGTTGAAGTGGTTTGGCCACGTTTGTCGGATGGAGGAGGAGAGAGATCCGCGGAAGATTCTGGAAGTTCGACCGCCGGGGGAGGAGGCCGAGGGGCCGCCCCAGAATTTCCTATCAGGAATATATGCAGCGGATCGGAGAGAAGAGAGGCAAAACCCTCCAGGAAATGAGGCGGCTTAGTAGGGACCGACAGGCATGGCTGCATTGGATCGAGGCTCCTCAACGCTAGTAATGGCACGAAGAGGAAGATAAAGAAGAAGAAGTAGAAGATGGATTGGCAAGCTAACCTTTTTCTATATTATATGTTTCTTCCTTTGTGACACTGAACTCATTTGTCTTCAAATACTTTCTAATGTTCTGACAAAGACAACTTTCAAGATGATAATACTATTTCTGGGTTTTATCCACTGAAGCCAGGATCACTTCTCCCATCCTCTCTTCACTGCAGCCACATAACGATTGCCAAAACAAAAACCTTTGTCCCTCTCCTCTTTGGGATTTTCCTTCTTGGGAAATTACAGAGTAGCCATTTTCTTTTCCCTGCACTAGTAGAACTAGATTAGCTTGCCTTTTAATTGTTCAACATTAATTTATTAAAATCTTTTTACTCACTTCCAATAAAGGTGTACATTACAATATATTTCTATATAGGTGAATATGTTTTCAGTGCTTCGTTGTTCTTGTTGTCGGTGTTTGTTTGAAGGCAGTAAATTTGTTGTTTTTTTTATTTCTGATGTTGAAGAAAACCAATATGTAACTATATATATATTTCTATATATATATATACATATATATAATCTATATCTATCTATCAAACAAATTTTGATCATTCGAACAAACACAGACAAGAAGAACAACAAAGCACTGAAAACATATTCATATACAGAACATATATATATATATATATGTCTGTATATGAATATGTTTTCAGTGCTTTGTTGTTCTTCTTGTCTGTGTTTGTTCGAATGATCAAAATTTGTTTGTGATTCCTGAAATCGGAGATATTGGTAAATAGAAGTACGTTTCTGTTTAGTTAAACATAGTAATTGAGGACAAAGATGGTTCAGATTGGCAGTCACAACAAAACGTAAAATAGTGAAAAACTATTTTATTAGTTTTAATACAGGCAAAATTGTTAGTACTTATGGTCTTTTTTAATGTTTTTTTTTTTTGTCTCCTCTTCCATGTCGTTTAGGCTATACTGAGTTTTTCCCGGGCTGAGAGAGGGGAATAGGGGAATTCTGCCGAGTTAAAAGGCCCATTGGGCACTGGGATTATAACTCGTAATTATTTGTTTATCTCAAAACTTCGGTTATCAGGCTGCTCTGAGCAACACACATGCTGTGCACACGCGTTAGTCCGCTCACTAACCCGCCTCCATTATTAGTACTTATCTATATGTTTCAATATAAAAAAAATTGTCAGTGTTTTGTTGAGTTTTCTTTTTCTTTGTTCGAATTCATTTAATATTTGTGGTCCGTAGTGTTGATAATAAAATGTGAATATGGTTTTCAGCTATTCTTTGTGTTATATGTTATTTAACAATTTCTAATGTTGATAGATATCAATTTTTTGGGTTGTGTATGTTTATATATAGACAACAATTTTTTCAGCGAATATTTTCATGTTTTATTATTCTTTGTTAAAATTCAATAAATTCTTTTATTTGTGATTTCTGGTGTTAAACAAAACTGCATGTCTATATTTGAGTAAACCTACTTTTAAGCAATTATAGATCATTCATAAATGAAAAAAAAATAATAAAAAATCATGCTGTTGTAGACATCTAATATTAATTTTTTTAAGCAATGATAATTTTTGTTTAAATTTCTAGTTCTAATTAGGCACACCATTGATGAACATAGTTAAGGAACTTTTTGGCTTATGCTGCCGTAATTATTATAATCGTAAATTTCTATATTTGTCGTATGGAATCTCTAGGGTCTGCTTTTTCTATTTAACACTTTAAAATTGAAACAAATATTCAGTGACGCAGGTATAAATCTACATTTTAAAAAAACAAAATACCTTTTTGCACTAGTGATGGACACCCTGAAATTCAATTGTTCTAATAATGAACAGGGGATCGGTGACAGTAATGAACATATCTAAAAAAAATTCTAAAATCTTTGTTTAACTATAAAGATAAATGTTCAATTATTCTTAACAAAATTGTTAGTAGAAAGGTATGAAACATTCTGATCTCAAGAGCACTGTAGAAACAACAACGATAGGCGTTTTAATATTTTTCTTTTGGTAACTTTATTCATACAGTTTTCAATAGAGGACATTGTTCTCCAATCCAGAAAAAACTGAAACCTTTAAATCAACAGGGAAGCTTATTATTTTCATTTAAAGTACAACTTGTCCATGACTGGGCCCCCTGTCCGTAATTAGTGTATTCACCCTATATGCTTATTTAATGAAGATCAATTTTTTTTTGTTTTTACAAAATTTAATTTTATATGACTTTTATCATTTCTAAATCTTGGAACAAAAAGGACCAATGTCGAAAACATTACGTCTTGTCGAGTATTCTTCTCAGTCAAAGTCTTCCATCCATTGGTTAAATGTTGATAGGCTCATGCGTCTTAGAACAATGGCAACTTTATGTGTGACCAGTTATTATTATTATTTTAATTTTTTATTAATTATTTTTATACTTATAATTTTTGTTACCTCAGGTGCAGAGAGCTGAAGGAAGGAGGAAAGTGGCCCCCGAACGAACGAGACTATTGGTGCTTAAAACTTCCTCATCACAGCCTCCGTCTCCACGCTCTGCGTTTCGGTTCTGTTTTTTATCTTATTTTTATTTGAGCTTTTTTTTTTACCAAAGACCTCTTCCTTTCTCACTAATTCGAGTCCTCCGGACAATAAAAAAAATATAACGTAGTAAGAGGTAAACAAAAAGATAAAATTCCAAAAAAAATAAATAATAATAATAATAATTGTAACACAAATAAATTTAGCTTTAAAAAAAAAAGAAAAAAAGATACTTATAGAAGCAGAGAAGAGGATGGATGTAGAGAAAGGGGATGATGAGTGGGATACGGAGCATAGCTTAATTGTACATAAAATTCGCTATTATTTTTTTGATTATTTTGCCCTTAAGCTTTGTAAATAATTACTTGAGAAAAATAAATAAAATTTATTAAAAATATTTGAAAAGTGAAAAATAACCAGAAGTTTTTTCGATCTGATTTGCGTGCAATAGTCAAAGCTTTCTCACATTTTTTACAATGTCATCACACAACAAATTTTAAAGAACGGTCAGTTTGTTTTAATGCCGTAACAGAGTTTTTTGAAATTGATTTCCTTACTGTGTATTTTTTATAAAATTTAATTATATATTTTATGTTTTCGAGATGTTATCTCGCTTCATTTGTTATTATATTGAAACAACCGCAAACCCGCACCTAGCCCGTTAGCTAGGTGATCCGGTGTTAGCGGGGATCCTACGAGATATCGTTATAACAAATTGACTGTTCTATCGCTGTGCCTCAACCGTGAATTTAAATTTTCGTTAAATTATGTTTCTTTAACGAGTATATATATATTTTACATAAACAGAAAATTAAAAAAAAAAAAGCATATTTAATTTTCTGAGTCCTATTACCTTTTTTACTGTATAGTTTTAATTTATTTAACTTAAATGTATTAGTTAAAAAGAAAAAAAAAATTCTCACTTGATTTACATTAGGTGTATTATAATTGTTTCATTTTATTTTATTTTGATTTTTTTTTTTTTTTTTATAATCAAGAGCACCATGATGAAATGTATAAACACTAAAACACGACAGTCACGTATATTTTTCAAATTATATAAGTAAAATATGAATTACATTTCAAATATTCAGTGATGCTATATGTATATTGAATTAAATAAGTTATTTGAAATGTTTTTGCTTTATTTTGGGAGCCATATATATATATACAAATAAATATTTAAAAAAAAGTAATAAAAGAAAAAAAAATTATATAGGAAGAAGTATTATTTTAAATTGTCTCTTTCATACCTTCCTTGTTAAAATTTTAAAACGGCTTACGCTAGTAGACTAGCGCTATTGGTGACGAAAGAGTAATTTATTTTTTAAAATGTTCGATAAGAACCACTACATTATAAGAAGTCTCACAATTTTATCAAGTCTCCGAAAGTGTTTCGAATCGACAAGTTATTGTCAGCTTATTAAGATAGTTTGTAAATGGTTTATCATTCCTTACATCGCATCTGACTCTTATCGATGAACAATTTACAAAGTATTATTGTATAATTCATTCACAGTGGGCAATAAAATGATTTGAAAATGGACAAATCTCAAGAAATCAACTTTTTATTTATTTTATTTTATTTTTTAAACTGTTTTAAAAAGGTATGTAGAGATATTTATATTAAATATTCTTTATTTTATATTACAGAGATTGCCCAAAGTTTATTATTGTATAACTAAGAGGGATGGGGGGGAGGGGAGGGGGGAGCATGATACAAATACCAGACACACCAACTCACACAATATAGCCACACAAAGCTTTGTCGCACTTTTATATATATATATAAAAATATATATACAATATTTGAATGATGGACAGTCAGTGTGGTACATACACTTTTTTTGAAAGTTGGTTTATTAAAAAATAATAAATACAAAAAAAAATAAATAAAACATGCTTACTTTTTGATATAGATATGTCTTGATTTGTTTCTACCTTATCCTTAGAACCCGTAGAATGTAGTTGTTTTATTAAAATTTAACATAATTATGGAAATGTAGTTAACCATTAGAAAAATCTACATGGCGATTAACCTTTTCGCTGCAGCGAGTGACGAGCTTTATACGTACTACAGTGCTAACTAAGACGGCTATCTGCCCACCAGCCCATGCTACATACTTTTCCGTCCTTCATTACCGCCTCTTACCACTATCTTTTAACCTTATTTTATTATTTATATTCTCCTTTTTGATTCGGGCTGTGGACCGACATTGGCAGAGTCAACACTTTTTTATTTATTTGTTTTATACGTTTAAATATTTTTTAATAATTTAATTTTGTGTAATATTCTTACGAATATATAATATTCTTCTTATGAAACATTCGCATTTACAAAGAAAAATCTGTTTGCACCAAATATCTTTTTTATATCATATTTCTTTCGCCAGTAGTAATGAATTCAGCAGCAGTAAACCACTGTTTTTCTATTTTAAAGAAAATAACATATATATACATATTTTTTATTTTATTTATTTATATTTAATGCAATGCACCTGCGCGGCTGTGTATCTAGCAAATTTGTTGTGTTTGTATTGTCTTGGTGTATTTGCTTGATATGGTGTTTATTGATTTAGTAGGTCTCTTGGCCATTTTCTTCTCAATCTGCGCTATTCAGGTAACAGGGAGCAGGAGATAGAAAGAACCAGAGGATTGGAGTGATTTTGGGTTGAAGAATGAAATTTAGTGTATTTGTCTTGGATGTAGGATTTTACTGTTGGGGTGTTTAAGTAGTATTTGAAATGTACCAAGGTGCGTTAACAATTTTTTGTAAAATTTGTGATTGTGCTATTTGTATTTGGTTTATGTGTGTTTGTTTTTCTGAACCCCTAAGTTCTGCTCCATATGTCCATATTTGTCTCAGTAAGGTGTTGTAGACGCTTATTTCATAAGTTAAAAGATGTGAAAGAAAATAACAATGAAAAAAAAAAAAGACTAATTTTTAACAAAAAAAAAAAAAAAACTAAAATAATTTATTCTACGCTGCCACATCACTAATTCAGTCTTATTTGATTTATTTATTTATTTCTAACTAAACTAAACTAAACGGTATTTTTATAAAATCAGAGCAGTTGAACATACGGTTGTTTCACACAGAACCCAAAAACAAGAATGAAAATGGTCGTCAAGACAGCCAGAGAACGGTTGTATCATCCATAGCGGTTCATGAATTCTACAAAAACAACTCCAAAATAAATCCCCACGCCATCTGTAGGCTTTAGTTAGAAGTTTTATTTCACTAGGAAACCAGTAGAATATAGCAAGATCACAGTGGTTATACTCGACAACGGTGGCATGTTCAGTTGCAGCGGCTATAGCCAGCCGTCGTAAGCAGTTAAAGGTGCAATCAGAAATTAATTGTATAGTAAATAATTTTTACACTTTCATTTATCTCTATTCTCCATGAAAATAATCTTCTGTTATTGGTATCTTAATCTCTCTCAAAACGCCAAGTTAATAATATATTGAACAATCATCTGACCTGTGATAATATGCAGTGAAACGTGGTCCAAAAAAATTATTAAGGTGTTTCTAAGAAAGATTCTTCGAATGGTATATGCGCAAATAAATAGGTACTATAGCGAGCTAGAAAAAATATTTGGAAGGAATGCCGGAGAATCACGCCTAAGAGGAAGGCTCCTTACCGATTACCAGAAGAAAAGTGATCAAAAGGTCATCCATGTCTGAGGTGGCTTGACAACATGGAGGCAGACCAGCTTTAAGGTACTATTTCACTGAAGTTGTTCCATGTAGCGGCCAAACCCTTGATTTAGCATTCTATTTTGGAAATAATTTTAGATACAAACTTCAACCTTAAATTTAATGGTTTTCATTTTTATTGGAAGGACAGCAATATATATATATATATATATATATATATATATATATATATATATATATATATATATATATATATATATATATATATATATATATAATGGTGGAGTTCCACTTATTTAAGTAATACACTTCATTTTTTTGGGAAGTTAAAGTTGAATAACAAGGTTAGGTTATGTCTGTACTATAAAATGTTTACAATTATCCACATATTAATTCCTACCTTCTACAAATTGATGGTTTCTTGTAATATTTTGAATATAAAATATCAGCAATCTCATGATAAAAAGAAAATGATGAAATTTATTTTAGGAATTGAGGGTATATATCTGATTTTAAGTGTATTACATATTATGATCATTTCTGTGTATAAATATCATATAATTGTAATGAAATCACAGCAGACAATGATTTATCGTTAGATAATCAGTAAATCAATAACACAAATTAATATTTCAATGTTTGGATCCAAGTATTTAGGTTAGATTAAAATTTGTTTGATTATTTAATGTAAATTTCAAATTTCTCTGTACAATATGTCCGGTGTAATAAATATTCCTATTGCATAAATGTTATAAAAATGATTTACTGTAGATTTGTTTAAATTTTAAAACAATTTTTGATTTAATTTTATCTGATTTGAATAAAAAAAGGAAATGAAATATAGTAAGGTGAAAACTCTTCTCCCAATATGCTAACCTAAGACAGGGGTCTATGGTCCACGGGCCGGATCTGGCGATCGCCCCCAATAAAAATGTTGAGTGGGCTAATGTAACGTTCCCTCCCACCAATAATTGTAAGTAAAACAAAAAAATAATTAAAATTGATAACAAATAAGCTACATAAATAAATAAAAAATTTAAACTAAAATCAAATAAGAAAAGTGACCAGCTGGCTAAGCTAAGGCTGATAAGTAGGTACATAACTTATTTTATCAAGACCTAAATATTTCTATTATTTAAATTTTCAGGAATAATAAAATAGAAACACATCCTTTGATTTTATGATTCATTTACCTTTCATGTGGAACCTCTATTTTCACATGATTTTCTCATCAATTTTCTGCAATAAAAGTTGGAAAAAATATATTTAATAATTACAAGTATAAATATATTTTATAGAGAATGTTTTTGTAGACATTTTTACATAGGCTGACTGTGAAAATGTTTTATTAATTGTTCTAACTAAGAAATCAAAAATATTTTGATATATTAATTTTTAATGAATTATTGAAGAAATCTAGTCGATTTTTCTACTTATCATGGGTGATAAATATTCAGGACGCAGTCTTTTTTAAAAAAAAAAATTTATTTGTGCCAAAATTTCAACCCAAACATGTGGGTCATCTTCAGGGCTGAAAATTTTAAAATAGAATCAAAGATATAATATTATTCAACCGATAATGGTAAATAATAAACTATAGTGATTGATGGTACATGAATCTTAACTAATATTACAATACACATATTAAAAATTAAATACGTAATATAATGTATAACAATAATAAAGAGAAGAATAGTTGGGGTGTTCAGTCAAAAAGGAAGGCAAAAATAAATGATAATTTTTGCTTAATTAATTAATGATAATTTTTGACTGAACACCCCAAATATTCTTCTCTTCATTATCCACGACAGTCAACCAATTACCAATTATGAATATAACAATAATTATGTATAATATTGTATCTCTGATTGTATTTTAAAATTTTCAGCCCTGAAGGTGACCCACACGTTTGGGTTGAAACGTTAGCACAAATAAAAAAATTTTAAAAATGGCCGTCCTGAATATTTATCACCCACTTATTTTTAATATGAGAAGGAGTTAGTCGAGGGTGCGGTCAAATAAATAAAAAAAATTAAAATATATAAATTATTTTAATTTTTGCCGACGTTTCGACCCACTTTGCAGGTCGTCTTCAGGGCGTAGGATGTGGCACTGCGGGAGGAAGTAGAAACACTGCATTGACACTGAGCATTTATTTTTAACATTATTCATTTTTAGCTGATAATGTTCTAAAAATGTACCTATGCTATGTAGGCTGTCTTTCCTCCTCTCGTGTTTAATGTATACAAGTTGTGATATATTCAATTGTTTTCTTCAGATATTTTCAAGTATATCCAAAAGAACACAAAAAAAATCCTGTTTTCAAATTTTTATTTTATTTCCAATGATGTTTCGAGCTGATTAGTTCATTATCAAATCGTAGCACATTTGTCTTCCACTCTATCTATAATTATAGAAGACTCCTTAAAAATTCTCCCTTATTCCTTCCACCCTCTGGTGCTCCTCCTTGTCCATAATATGTGTATATTTAGCTACTACAGTAGTATTTTTCAAGGGCACTCAATGCTCTTATATATGGTATCTTCAAGGAATATATAAGCCCTTATACTTAAAATAAATAAAAAAATTAAAAGTATAAGGGCTTATATATTCCTTGAAGACACCATATATAAAAACATCGAGTGCCCTTGAAAAGTACTGCTGTAGTAGCTAAAGTTCCTATGGTTGTCTAAAGATATATGTAGACTTTTTTTTTTTTTTACGTTTGATAGAGTCTGGCATCCGGGACTGATGTACAAACTCCGTGAATTCCTACCACCTACATACTTCCTCATTATACGTTCCTACCTTACTGACAGATACTTCAAAGTCAATCATAACAATGCTTATTCATCTCTTTTTACTCAGTCTGCCGGTGTTCCTCAAGGTAGTATCCTAGGTCCTATCCTTTACACAGTTTATACAGCTGACATCCCAACCCAATCCAACACTGCCATCACCACCTATGCCGATGACACGTGTATCCTATCAGTTAATAACGATCCTTTAATTGCATCCCAAACTCTTCAATCACATATCACAAGCCTTGAAAAATGGTGTAAAAATTGGAGAATAAAAATAAATTCCAACAAATCCCATCAAATCACCTTTACCCTCCGTCGTAAACCTATGACCTCTTGTCCTACAGTATCCTTCAATAATACTCCACTTATTCCTGTTGAGCAAATCCGCTACTTAGGACTCCACCTTGACAAACGACTCACTTGGAACCCCCATACCAGACTGAAGCGACTAGAAACAGCCCGACGTTTCTGACTACTGCAGCACTTACTAGACAAACGATCTAAGCTTTCAATCAATTATAAACGACTTGTATATATGACAATAATAAGACCTATTTGGACTTATGGAATTGAGCTTTGGGGCTTCACTAAACCATCGAATTCCTCTCGTATCCAATCCTTACAATCCAAAATCCTTCATAAAATCCTCAACGCTCCTTACTTTGTCACAAATAAAATCATCCATAAAGACCTTAATGTTCTGATATGTTTCTGATCTGGCCCAATCCAGATACCTCTCCTTCCATAACAAACTGCAGAACTATCCGAATCCTCTTGTTTCAAACCTTGCTTCCTCCTCGATCCCTGATAACTCTCCGAGGCGTCTGAGAAGAAGATGGCCTCGGGATCTTCTAATATAGAACTTTAATTTGAGTGCTACCAATGGGTAGTTTCTCTTCATGTTGTACATGCCATGTTACAAATTTCTCATTTACTTATTGTATTCTCTATGTAATACAGTTGTAAATTCCATTAAAATAATATTAAAAACAAGATTTATTTTTTAAATATCCGATATTATATTTGTTCGTTTCACAATAATTATGTTGAATTTATACACATAATATGAACTATGTCCCCAGTCAAAATGGTTAGCCTGCGCTATGCTAGTTATGGCCAGAAATCAAAGATCTTGGGTTCAGTATCTGGTAGGTAAGTACAGTTCCTTGAGGTAAGTACAGTTCCTTGGTCTGCGCATTGCAGTTGAGTCACTTGTTAAAGAAAAATTAAAGGAAGATTGTCGACTGTTCTACATATCATGGGTGATAAATATTCAGGACGCAGTCATTATAAGGTTTTTATTAGTGATGACGTTTCGACCCAAATATGTGGGTCATCATTAAGGCATGGCTCGAGCACTGAAGGTATTCAAGTACTAATTAAGTTGGTTAGTACTTGAATATCTTCATATTTAATATTTACATCATATGTATCTTCATACCTGAATATTTATCACCTATATTAAAGAAAAATATGTTTTGACCCACCTTTGCTTATCGTTCCTGATAAAAAAGAAAAAAGATTATTTTATTGAAATTACGGTAGGTTCTCTATTTTCTTTTTTCATACATTTCTTATTTAATTATTAGTAAGTTTCAATTTATATTTGTTTTGTTTTTTCCTAAATAAGTGAACTACAGATAATAATAAGAATGAGAATAAAATATTGAACATACACTCATCTACATTACACTCTTGGCCAAAGACTATCAGAAGACAATCTCAACAGCAAATATATTCAAAAAATTATTTTAAGTAAACATTGTGTCCTCATAAAAGTTATAATATATTAAAATCTCTAACAATAAAAATATAGCAATGCCTGTTTAAATTCTAAATTTTATTAAAATATGAAAAAACAACAAATAATTTTTTTTTTTTTTTTCACATACACATAAAATAAACACTAAAAATAACAATCAAAATAGTCAGATAAAACATTTAGATCCAAAGGTCAAATTTTCACTATGGCAGAAACCCAATTATTGGTCAAAAGGAGAATGTTGCTCGAGATGATAAATTTTAGAACACAAATTAGAAAATTGACGATGGAGTACATTATTATTACTATTAGAATTAAGGTAATTAAAAATTTATTGTAACAAACATAATACAAATATGTAATGTAGCAAGCACAATATTGTAACTTAGAAAATTTTTAGCCTTGCATCCACAAGAGTATTGGAATTGCAGTTCTCAAGATGGGAATAAAAGGTCCCGAAACGTAAACTAGACTATTAACATGTAACGTTAAAAATATACTCGAATTGTTAATAATTGGAAGTTATTATTGCCAAGCAACTAAAATAAAAATAAAAAATAATAATAATTTTGATTGCCTTTATGCAAATTATTCAATGACTAAAGATCCGCACTTCAAGGCTATGTTTCTGAATTTGTTTAGAGTAAAATAATTATTTAGAAAAGTTTATATGAGTATGTGTTAATTTATTGTCAGTCTAGTATCATTTATCTTCTGTAAATTAGGTCTTAGATTTTCTTTAAAAGTTAGTAAAAAGATGTTTTCAACTGAAGATGTTTACTTCATAATCAACAATAGTTTTAAAGAGCATATAGGAGGATGTGATGGCAGCGCTATCTCTTGTTCTGATCAATCTACTAAGCCTGACGGATCCGAAAAAATTGTTGAAAACAGAACAAGAATATTCTCCTGAAAAGAACTGATTCTCTTTGAGCATAATGTCTAGCTAGAAACATCTGGACTTTTTTATTTAATTCTCAAAGATATAAGCAATATACCCTTAAAGTATGGAGATTAAATTATGAGACACTCTTTATATAAAAATATTCAAAAACCTCATCAAATCTTACTGGAATTAAATTGCTTAAGTAGATATATAGAAATATTTATTTCATATAAATTTTGCATTTTCTTTTTTGAATAATAAAACTTTTTTGTCATGCTATAAAATCGCCTGTCAAGAGTTGCCCCAAAAAATACATAAAATAAAAGGAAATAATAATAATAAAATAAATAAAAACAATAAACTTTGAAAATATAAAACAGCCATTTGTTTAAAACAATATAAAACCATCTGATAAATATAATCTAAATAAACTTTATAATTGTGGATTGATGGTTGACTGCAATGAATAATTGAAGAGAAGATTGGTTTGGGTGTTAAGTAAAAATAAATAAATTATATTTATTTTTAATGATGTAGAGGTGGTTGACCGCGACTATAATATCAAGAGTTGGTCAGAGGTGCGGTCAAATAAATATTATCTATTAATAGATAGTATTTATTTGACTGACCAACTCCTTATATTTATTTTTTTCGACATGTCATTCCAATGTTCAAGCCTTCATCTTTTTCATAGCCTTTTTTTTTCATGTTTTTCTTAGCCCTGATGAAGGCCTGAATTTTAGGCCGAAATGTCAGCCAAAATAAATATAATTATTTATTTTTACATTTTTTTTGGCTGCACACCCTAACCAATTTGTCTTAAATAAACTTTAAATTGTCAAAACAATAAGAAATAATTAATTTTTGTTAAATAACCTTAATTTTATACTTGCTTTTCTTTTGTTAACATATCCCAGAATTTAGAACATTCTAAATTTATAAATAAACTGTTCCATTCTGCGATTGAGTAAGTCTTTAAGTTCCTAGAGGTTTAAAACCTTTTTCTTAAAATACTTGATTTTATATTCCTGTGAAATCGGACAAATAGTAATGTAGTGGTGTGCATTCAAATTACAAAGACTACACAATCTTTGTTGCTCAGTACTCGTTGCACTATTGTTTAGAAATAATAATTGTCCATGAAATTTGAATATAACTTTAATAAAATTAATTTTTTTTTTTTTTACATCTGATATATAAAATTAAGTATATTCTTATACAATAATATATTTTATATTATTATAAGGAACTTAAACACATAAAAATCAAATAAATTATCTTTATCAATCAGATATAAGGAATGTGATTTTAAAAAATATTATACATGATGCATTTATACAAATGACTGGATTATGTTCACATTAATTAATAAATAATATGATTATGAATTTTTAAAAAAATCTTTCTTTTATTCTGTACAAAGAATTTAATTTATATAAAACATTTGGGGTTTTAAAAATAAAAAAAAATTAACTAAATATCTTATAACATTATTTTGAACAATAATGTTCTGATTTTCAGTCGATTGAACACGACTGAGATAAAATTCATACAATGAACAATATATTAAGAAACACATTGACAAAGTTATAATATCACAAAAATATTTGAAACAATAACAACACATCAAATAGATGTTCAGCCATATTTCACTTTAAAATAAATGTTAATAACACAGACTTCGAAATTCATATCAATTATTGGCTTTTATAATACAATCCAAACTTTATTTTAATAACTTCTTGAACCTGATACAAATTGAATATATTTCTCAGTCATTAACAATTGGTAAACAATCCCTGCTTTCATACCTGAAAAAAAGAAAGATAATTGCAATAGAATTAAAGGTAAGTTGTTCTCTTATTTTTTTTAAATAAGAGAAATGCAGATAATAATAATGCATATATTGAGAAAAATATATGATACATACTTATGCTTAATACTATTGGCTAAAGACCATCAGGATAACCACAACAACAAATATTATATTTAAAAACTATTTAAGTAAACAATAAATATAAATACAGATATTTCCTTACTCATAAAAAATATAAATATATTAATATATCGATATACATTATGTATAATAAAAACCCAGATATGTAAACTCTGACAGGGTGGCGACTGACTGGGAAAAATCAGGGAATTTTCTATACAGAGAGAAGTCGGGGAAAAATTTTTATAGTAGGGATTTTTTTCAAATTCAAAATAAATATATGGTAATTTGGATGTGGAAAATTTTAATGTAAGCTGCAATCTTGATTATAATGAACCCCTGATTCTTTATTTTGTTATAAACTATAAAACAACATCGCTATTCAAATTGTGTGCCCATCATATTTTACTAAATACTTTTCATTTTATCCCCTTAATTTATCGGGAGACAAATAAATTGAACTCCACATCATTAGTTACTACCTTTATTTCACACATTAATTATTAATAATAAAAATTACAATTAAAAAACTATAACCTCAGCCGAAACAGCGAACGACTCTGGAACTGAATGATAAGTCCAATGCAGGCTGTGATGCCATTTTGTGACGTTACGGTAGTTCCAGTATTTTTTTTTATTTGGTTATGAACTCTGTAGCAACCAGAAATTTAATTTAGAGATATCCAATAGTCACCAAGTAGTATTGTTTCGAAAACTCAATTTAACAGATAGTTCAGGGACGGCAAAGTTGCCTTCTGGTCTTTAATAATTAATATTGGCAAACAAAAGATACCTATATAACATTTAAATTATATTTTAATGTAATGCATGTGGCTACAGTCTTAGTAATTCATCGGCTGGCAAGCAATCGTTCGTCCGACCCCTGGTGATTCTTAAAAGAGTTATACTAACCAGAAATGTCAGTTTTTTTTTTTTTTTGTACATTCCTTCTACACCATTGAGGCTTCTCCAGTATGGATAGGAAGGAGTTAAAAGCTCTACCAGGATGTGAACTTCTAATTATTTTATCATGAAATTATATATCAAGTTGCTGAAAAATTTTGTTTTACACACAAGTCAGTCCCCTCGGCCACTCTGCCTCACAGTTGGTATCGTATATTGTGTTGTTTGAGGGAATAAAAAAAACAAAATTACTTATGCAGAACTATATTAAAATAAGAATCACCGTTTCAATCATGCATAATAAATAAATTTAGTTATAAACTATATATCTTTAACACTTGTGTTCCCTGACATATTGGTCAGGGAAAACTTTCATTAAATAGGGAAAAGTCGGGGAATTTCACTCTAACAGTCCGGTAGCCACCCTGTCTGTAAGGCAAATCTTCATCAAGACAATATAAATAATGATATATATATGAATGGCCTCTTATCAAAGACGGACATTGTCATTTTTAAAAAGTCAATTTTGTAAATTCTTAAATAAAATCATCTGAAACAGTTTTGAGTTATACCTATAACATGAAAATTAACTTTTTCTACACCATATAAGAATGAGATATGTCCGTCATTAATATGAAGCCACTTCGGATATGAATATTAAAACATTTTACAGAAATAATTAACCATTGATTTAACTGAAATCTATCAACCTATCTTGGTAGTTTAGATTAATTCATCAGAGTAATCTGATTTTTTCCCTTTAAATATTTCGTTATCTTTGCTATACTTACATTATTTTAAGAAATGAAAATAGTAATTACAGCATTAAGTAGCAAGGTTTTGAACAAAAAAAAAAAGAAAAATCCATTTCAGCAGTTAAAAAGAAAAATTGTGTTACGTACCAAAAATGGAATGCATACAACAGATCATGAAATATCGAGAATGTTGTATTTGTGTTTTCTTGGAACTCTATCGATCAAAAGTCGTCCATCGTAGGAGAGTGCAGCAAACAACCAAGGATCAACATTCGACCACTCGAGGCGATAAACAGAATCTTCGTGATCGGAAAAGTCAACCAGTTTTCCGTCAGGGTATCTGTCATTGGGTTCCGAAGCTACGGATCCAACCCACCACAGGATCACCTGAACAAAACTTACACCTTAACACATAATACATACATATTGATAATACATAAATGCTAAATATAAACACTTCTAGAACCAAATGATGATTATCTTGGTTTCATCTACAAAAAGTACGAATAAAGACATATTGTGTATGCGAGTGCATTTTAACATTCTCTGTAATTATAAGGGTTGATAGTATAAGGGTTCAATTATTTCAGCATACAAGCTCAAATTTCAAACACAAATTACTTGGAGGTACACAGAACAATGGTCACTTAAGAAATGAATAAAATTTCTAAGAATGTTATGTAATTTTTTTAACATTTACTAGGGCCATCTTCTATCTCAAATAATGCAGTAATAAAAAAAAAAAAAAATTTGTATTCCTTTTTCCTGGACATGCTGGGTTAATGAGAGTTAAAAGCCCCCTGGTACCAGCATTTGAACTTGCTAACTTAAAACAAAAAATCATTAGTTATCCCATTATTCCAATGAGAAGGTGATATAATAAATTCTGTAGTTCACGCAATTTCAATTCTGTAGTTTATACTCAACTTTTTGAAAATTAAAATTGACATGAACACATTTGATAAATAAATGTATTTTTAAGGCAAATATGAATTGAATTATTATTATTTTTTTTTTAAATCAATGTTTAAGAATCATAAATTTAAACTAATATATATTAAAGAATTAATAATAAAAAAAACACTTGACTTATAAAACTTACTCAACTGGTCATGGATGTCATTTAATAAACAACTTTTCATAGCAAAGTTGTGTTGAAAACTAATGGAGGTAAAAAGCTACAATATCTAAAGAGAGATAGAAAATAGTGGTGCCAAATTTTAAATCAAAGTAAGTGAAAACCATCTTCCAGGATACAATAACAAATTAAAAGTTAACCCAGAACCAATATCACAAAGCTTAACAAGAAATGATAATATATATATTTTTTTTAAATCTCAGAATAGGTAAATAATATAAGCCTACATTAACCCTAGGTATATAAATTCAACTTATAAAAGTAATAAAACTACTAATGATGTAGAGATGGTTGACCGTTGATATATTATGAGAAATATTAAAATAATTAATATATTTTAATTTATTATTTATTTGACCTCACGCCTGACTAACTCTTTCTCATAATAAAATTACTATTTAAGTATCAGTAGAAAAAATGCCTTTATTTAGTCTCAATAATCAAAATAATTTATTTTAAATTTGTCCAAATTTTCGCATTTTCATGGATAAAATTTGATTTTACAATATTTTGTGAATTTTCACTTAAAAAAAATTCTCTCAGAAGATTTACTAGTAGAAATTAGCCCATTTATAATTTTTAAAAATTATTACATTTATAATTTTTGTATATATTTTTTTCAGATCAATATTCATAATATATTTTAAAATCAAATTTTATGCCTGAAGAGACGAAAATTCGTATAAATTTAAAATAGAATATCTTAATTATTGAGACTATAAAGGCCTTTTTTTTTTACACATAGTTATTAAAGTCTTTTTCCCATTATCATCTTTTATTATTATTTAAAATATGTGATATAAAATAAGATAGAAATAAAATTTACTCGAGCATCGGAGCTGGAAGATAACAATAATTCATCCTGAAGATGGTTATACCGCAGAGACCAAACCCAATGGGAGTGGCCGGTAAGCTTCAGCATGGTCGAAGCGTTCCGAAGATCCCATATGTTCACCAGGCAATCGTCTCCGCAGCTGGCTAATGTATGACAACGATTTCTATTGTAATCGACATCTCTATAACAAATATAAATAATAGTATTAAGATAAAAAATCTTTCAATTTGGTGGTGGGAAAATTATATAATATAATAAACAATAGACTTTGTTTCAGTTAAAACTATAATTCAAGGAGCCACCAAAGAAGTAATACTACTGACAAACATTGTAGAAAAGCATTAGTTTAATCTATTATAAAAATTGTAAAACAATTTAAAAAAGTCCATTCATAAACATATGGTAAAAATCAAGTAAGGTTTGAGCCGCGACTCGAGCCTTTTATCGCCGAGCTCTTAGGACTCAAGCCTTGTCCAAGTCAGGAAAGCTCGAGCCTTTTCGGCTCAAGCCTTATAGCCTTCTAACCAAGCTTTTTTACAACATTAGTGATAATCCTTGCATTTTTATGAAATATATGTACTTTTTGATAAATATTACGCTGCCTTAAATTTTAATAAAACTTTACCTCACTAAATACGAATGCGCTTGATCTAAAGACCATGCTGGAGTAGGGCTCCTCAAGTCCCAGCCTTTGACGTTGGTGTCCTGGAAGGTGCAAAGGTGGGCGCCACTTTCTTGAGGATTCCACTTCCCTCCGGTAATTTTGGTATGGCCTAAAAGTTAAAAATAATTTTAAGTAATTTTGTGAATAGAAAAGTGAACAACAAACTTTATGCAACCCATATGTAAATCACACTTTACATTATTACATTTTTCGAAACTACTGTAAAAGTGCTCCACTTTTATGGATGGGCACAAGAACTCATACTAAAAATACAAACAGAATTCAGAGAAGGGCCAAATGTGTCAGAAAAAAGACCGAACTGTGTCTGGTAAGGCCCAGACCTCAACTGAAAAGGACCCATTGGAAGTATGTCTTTCCCTTTTGAGCGAACAGGAGTCTAAAGCAACAATGTAAATAAAACTTAATAAGCCATCAATTTTAACTGAAAAGAACCAGATGAGAGTTTACAGAAGTAATAAATCGGAATCTCAAGGACATGAAAGGAGGTTATAACAGTGAACACATTGTCAATACTTGGCCATTCTCAAAATACCAGTTATAGCACGATCTTAGGCACACACATCAAAGTGGAGCAATATTTGTAAAGTAGTACCTATTTTTCTACTAAAAAAAACTTATATCTATTATTTACAATCCTTGGATCTTATTAATAGGTATTGAAATCTTTGGAACTAGTTCACATGAGCTCTGCAAGAATTAAGCGTGGTTCACAATCACTTCTGTCACACTTGTTCATGGAATCCCGAAAACTGCTGAATGTTGCCATCAGCTATTGCCCCCACCACACAATCCCTTTTCATGTATTTTTGGAAAAGCTAAATATTCTCACAATAGAACATCCTTACCAACAATTTATTAATGTATTATGTAGTTACTAATTTGTTAATTAGTGATTTTTATCATAACAGTAATTACTCTGAGAGAAAAATAATGTAAATATATAAAATGATATTTTGAGTTGCCCTTTAAGGCTGTTAAAAAATAAATGATTTTAGAAATAAAATTTTTATTGATACATGCTTACATACGGTAGCTCTAAATATGTATTTACTATGGCATATTACCTTTATAACTATGTATAAAAGATTTTTTTTGTCATTGAATAATAAATAATCTAAAATTATCTATTAGTTATTTGCAGTTATTTTGCTTAGTAATCTGAAAAAGGGGACTATTAGTAGTCATTCGTAAAGAAAAAAAAAAAAAAATGTTTATTTTCGTGGAAGGAATTAACATATAGGGGAAACAACTGACAAAGAATATCTGATAATTCCGAGATAATTAATAATGAATCATCAATAAGAAAAACAAATATAGCGAGTGATATAGCATTCAGAGATATAATAAATGTACAAGTTCAATTAAGGTTGCATGACGTAGCCTAAATTTCTAATATAATTCGGCTATGCTGTATAACTGAACATGGTTAAGGATATAGAAGTACTTAAATGGCGGGAAAGTTAATAGTAATTGACTCGAGAAATCGGTCGCCTTCATCTTCTTTAGGATAAACCCGAACGCATTCGACACTCCGTGAACAAGTGTGGCCGAAGTGATTGTGAACCATATGCAGAACTCATGTGAACTAGTACCAAATTTTTAAAAATATATATGACCCTTATTACCTTTCTGATCAACGATTCGTTCAAATACTTCTTTAGGGGATCCATTTCCTAAATCCCAAACTACAAACTTATTCTCACAAACCATTGCAAATTTTTCTTTCTCAGTCGGATGAAACACTGACATCTAATGAACAAACAAGCTATTGAAACAAGGATACCAGCAAATGAAAATAATTTGAATATTCTTTAAAACAACTTACTTTTACATTGTCATATCCTTTGAACTGAGCAACTTCTTCTAACTCTTGCCCACTATGTGGTAATGTCCAAATAGCACATTTATTTAAAACATTAGTTTCATCATCAACATTAGAAAAAGTTGAAGAAAACATCAGGGAATCGTGAGGAGACCAATGCAAATGCCATAATTCACCAGCAGGATGATTATAAACCTATAATGAATGCTAATATAAAAATCAATAAAGAATAAAATATAATTTTTGTCTCAAATGAATAACCTGTCCATTTATAACGGTGGTCTCATCATTAATTTCGACAACATGAATCTGATTGTTCGCTGTTTTCAATGTCTGAGTTCCAACCATGAATCTTGTTACTTCGTTTTCGGCTAATTCAACAGCTAAGGATCTGGCCTATTGAACCAGACGGAGGTATTAAAATTGTGTGTAACAGAAAAAAATGTGTATAATTTAAATTGGGCATAATTTACCTGTAATTCCAGACCATATATCAATGAGATTTCTTCTTCACCCATTATTTTTTAACTTGTAAAAGAACTTAAATAAATTCAGGCTTAAATCAAAACAAAATAAAGTACGTATTCATTAGTAATTTAAATAATATTTATTTTTCAAATAGAACAATTTCTTAGAGTTCATTATTAAAATAAAATAAATGTTTCTATGTTCAAATAGAGAAATGATAACAGATAACAACACAACTACAAGCAGGTTGTAAGGTTGACAACAGAGCCAATGAGGTGCTGCTATCTGCGGAAAGGAAGTGAACTAGCATGCCTAAAGCGGGACTTTTGACTTTTCAAATTAATATTATAAATTATTTTATTAAATAATCCACTATGCTATTGAAAATATATTTATCAAGGAATAAAATATATCAAATTTTATCACATAACTTAAATTTAAAAACTAAAATATCGTTAGTCTATTGAAAAAATAATAAAATAAAAATAAATACATTACATAAATAAATTAAGTACTTTGTTGAATTTTCCACTTTATGAAATCAGAACATTATTCATCCAGTGTAATTATTTTATATATAGCATTTACTGTGTTTTTACTTATTAAAAGTTCAGTTCCATCAAAGCATGTGTAATAAATGTACTAATTAAATTTAAATAGTATAATTTGATTGAACAGGATGCATAACTTGTATATTGTCGTTGTTGGCACGTTGTGTGTTTTATTTTTATCATATTATATCTTACAATAGTTTGCACTATTTATTATTAGCACCGTAGTCCATCTCTTCCCTCTTTAAAATATGATCTATATAATATTTCTTATTATGTTTAGGTAAATACTAAATGTAAATTCTGCTTAATTTATGTTTTTTTTAAGAACAATTTAATGAAAATTAACATACATACGTATACCTGTACAAAACATATTATTATTAAGTATTTTTATTTTAAAGCGCAAGAATTTAAATTATTTAAAGGAGTATATTCAATATAAAATTAAGTAATAGAATAAAAAATGAAAATATAAGGCAAAGAACCAAAATTAAGGATATTAAAGAGGTGATTTTTAAAAATTAAATACCAAAATACCACCTATGTTGCCTTGTTGGTGGCTCAGCCATCCTCCCCCAACAAACTGCTATACTATGAACTTCATGAACATATCGATCATGTACATTACAATTCCGTCACAAAGTCCTGTATCTATCTACTAACAGGTATAATAGAATTAGTTTAACGGAGTCCTATTTTAGATTCATAAACTTAACTAAACTGTAAAAGGAATCATCTATTAAAATACTGTACTTTCTAAGTTCAAAGTATTTGTGTGACTTAACTCTTTTTTGTCAACAGGAAGGGCTTGGAACAGCTCAATACTTGGTAAAGATATTAATTTTTCATATATGCATATATTATATATTATATATGGGTATATAGGATGTATTCCAACAATATATAACAGATCCCCATCCTCTCATATCCCTCACCCAGTGGTCCTATAGTTTGGCTCCCCCAATAATTTTCATAAGTCTATGGAATTGATGGGGCGTCTACGAAAGTAGAACAACATCTTTATAACATATGCATGATATATATAATATATAATAATAATGAATTGATAAGACTTAGAGATGACTTCTCTATGAAATTAGAAGCTATTCTTTTATGAAACAGAAATTGTTCATAGAAATTGAAAAACAAAGAAGTGATTCTAATTTTGGTGTAATGTTAATCCGAAAAGAGAAAAGTTCCTCCAATTACAATAACATGAAAAATAAAAAAACTTCATTTTTTTCTAAGTTAAAAATCCATTTACAAATAATTATTTGATTTGTTTTTTTGGTTGTATAGTAAAGGCATAAAATGTGTTGGTCATCAATGTTGTTAATTAAAATTATTTATTAATATATCTTCTGGTTGTGTGATAATAAGAATGAAATTAAATTAAAAAGACGCAAAATGCACGTTAAGGTTACAGTTATTAAACTTTATTTATTTAAAGTTAGGTTTAATGTTAGGACGTTAAGTAAAAAAAAATTGTAAAAAGAAATAAAAGAGGTGGGGGAGGGGGGGAGTTGCTGAGTGAGAGGTTCACAAATTTGTAAAGATTCCTTCTTCAGAGAGAAAACATATGATTTTGCTCAAGATTTTTTAATCATTTCCCAAAGCAGCTGATGTATTTGCTGGTATTTCTCTTTTGTTTAATTCTCTGATGTAAAAGGCACAACTCTCGAAGACATGAACCACTGTAATTCTCCCTGTTGACATCTGGCAAATGGGGAGTTTTTCTTTTAAATGCTTTTAAAAATTTTTTTATTTAAATTAAGGATAATTAAGTGATGCTGCGTAAGCCTGGTATGACCTATTCTTAGTTGTATAAGTCAACTTCCTTTCTATGTTTACATTTTTTATCACCTTTAATTTATTTGGAGGGCTATTGTCCCATAGTGTCTGCCAATCTTGGTGTATGGGCTCTTTCAGAGGACGCGCCAGTTCGGGTGCAGTTAAGAAAGCTTTACCACGCCCTGGAATAAGTGTAAAGTGCGGGGAAGAGTAAGAAGGTTTATTTTATTTGTTATTCTAATTTTAAAACACAAAACATATATTTTATTTTGTGTTTCAAAATATTTTGCCTGACACCACAAAACCATTAAAACAAATCGATTTAAATATAGTATTGAATAATTTTCAAAGACATAAAACTTTGACAGTATCATTTTAAAAAATCAATTAATCTCTAAAATAATAAAGAGTTTCTTATATTTATATAAATTAGGCCAATTATTACCAAACATTTTATTGATACGCTATTTATTAATTCAATGTTTCGACTGATAATCCCTCCAGAAATGACGTAGGTGAAACCCCATGACCATGACAATTTAATGTCCACTAAACATATTATTTGCGACATTAATGATGAATATATAACGGAGGACTCATCAAGGACTTGAAAATGACCCTTAGTATAGTCGAAACGATGAATTAAATAGCGTATCAATAAAATGTTTGGTGATAATTGCCCTAATTTATATAAATATCAAACCTCAAGACACCAAAATTAGGGTAAATGAACAGAAGAAATAAAGAGTTTCATTTGAATCATTATTACTTTTTTAATGCATTAAAAAAAATATCTATAATAATATAGTACTGAGCATTATTATGACATAAGGTCAGCAACTTGGACCTTAAATGGCAACTTTAGGAAGAAACTCCTAGCCACAGAAATGGACTACTGGAGATGAGCGGCAGAAATATCCTGAATGGATAAAGTGTGAAATACGACCGTCAGAGAAGATGGAGGCTAAAAGAACCATTCTGAAAGAAAAACACCTGAAGTGGTATGGTCATTTGAAAAGAATGCCTGAAGGAAGACTACCCAAAGAAATCTACTTATGGAAAACTAGGGAGAAGACGAGGAAGACCTGGGATAACAAAGTGGAGGAATCCATGATAGGTCGTGGTCTACGGGAAGAATGGACCTTAGATAGGATATTATGGAAAGAACCCATCCAAGCACTCTAGGTTAAGGAAATCCACTGAATTTTTGGCCTTTCATTACCATACTCCGACTGTTTCCGCAGCAGATAAAGTTAAGAACCACAATTTTTTTTTATTCTTTGATCAATATTTTTATGGATTTTATTTCTATGACATAATGGGACAAGTAAAATAATAAACAAAGTTCCGTATATTTTTTTAAAAACTTTATTTCAACAATAAATTACACAAAAATAAGTTAATAAATAAATAAACAGTTCAATAAATAAAATAAATAAATTTTCATACATCGAATGAATAAATTTAACATTTATACACTTACAAATAAAATACTTGATATATTATTAATATTGGTAATCACAGTCCATTTAATAACCAGAACTATAAAGGAACTTAATAAAACAGTTACAAATCATTTAACATTATTTATCTTAATATATAAATAGTTTGATTTTAAAATATGATTATCATATTATAGTTACATTAGCTATTTTGTAAAAATAAATAAATGCAAAGAGGTTTTATTTTTTGGAAGAAAAAAAATCTGTAATATTTGATGTTTGCTCTAAGATAACTATTTTTATGTTTGTTCCTAATTCGAACTGGTATAACAGTTAGTTTACAGTAATATATTAAAAAAAAAAAATGAAATATTTATTTTATTTATGATTCCTGAGAAATGATTTTAATCTTTTACTCGACCAGGGGCCGATGGGGGATTCCCATTGTCAACCATTAACTTTGAGTTTAGTTTCACAAAAGTTAGGAACATCCATTTATAATAAAATCTTTGGCCTTATGAAGACATATCTTTCTGTTTGACAAGAATCAGACTTGTCACGCAGAATCAATAAAATAAATTAAAATAATTCTAGTTTTAATATATTTACAAAGTTATTTTGCCGAGGACTTTACGTTGGGTTGTTCTTGTTGTCGTAGGAACTGTAGGCCAGCTGGTGAGCTGCTAAAGCCCTGTCCCAACCTCCGCCGCCACCGCCGCCCCCCGAGCCACCGCCACCTCCACCGCCTCCACTCGACGGCCAGCCACTATCACCACCGCTGCCGCTGCTGCCACCTCCGGCGTCCATCCACCCGCCGCCTCCACCGCCTCCCATCATCATCATGTTCTTGTTCTTCATCAACTTCTTCAATATCATGATCTTCGATATGATGAGAGAGATGGCGCCGAAGAGGAGGCCTTTGATCGCTGCGATTTTTATCAGTCCAAGTCCTAACGGGATCAACAGTAATATCTTTCCTACTTTCAACAAGACTGCCAACAGCAAAACTTTTTTCAAGAGCTTTTTAATCTTCTTCTTCTTCTTCTTTCTCCCTAAAAAAAAAAAATCATATTTAAATAATGAAATTTAAAAATAATGTAATTTCCTGCAACTAGTTCATAACTCAAAATTCATGATATTTTAATGTTAATGTTAATTTCAATAAATTAAAAAAAGAACTACAATGTGTACTTCAGATCACAGGCGGATCTATGGGGGTAAGGGAGGGGAGCTTTTGGATTATGGTAAAATATAACCATTTCTTATGAAAAAAATATTAAAACATTATCTCTAAAAGTATTACTGTTCACTTAATTAAATTTAATAGGACTTCGAGAATCACTTAAAACACCATTTCATACAGATAGGATCTTTCTTCTTCTTCCAAAGTAATAATCTATTCACACATATATATATATATATATATATATATATATATATATATATATATATATATTATATATATAA